ATTACCTAAGACACGTAATAAAATTATTTTATATATGTAACAATTATGTATCGCTACTACCATAGACGTACTATAGTAATTTCTACCATCTAAATTTTACTGCCCTGACGAATGTTGATTAAGTGAGCTTTTTAATTCCTTTTTGTTATTTAAATTAAGTTATTTTTACATCATAGCCTCTTATATATAAATGAGGCTATAAAATTTTCTTCATATTCCGAGCGATTATCGGTATAAGCAATCCCCCACTTACTGACCAACGGCTTCGGGCGGACGAGTTGGTAAGTGGCAGGGCACTCTTTTGTCCTGGAATTGAGAAATTGATTCCGAAGGCGGAAGAACTATAAAACTACAAATTAGTCAACGGCATAAGGATGCAGAAAGCAAAGGAGAAATACTGCATTAAAGGCCTTGTGGCACTCCTAGTTTTAACTATCATGGCTGTAAATAATTTAAGTCAAAACATTAATGATCATGGATCTCGGAATCCAAGATCCGGCAAGAGAGGACAATCTCAAGACTGCAGGGCCTCTCAGGTCGTTAATATGCGAAATCCTTGCAAAATAGCCACATGGAACGTCAGAAGCATGTTTGAGTCAGGTAAAATATATAATGCCATAAAAGAAATGAAAAGAATGCAAATCAGCATCCTCGGAATAAGCGAAATGCGATGGCCGGGATCAGGAGTATGTGACGTAGAAGGATATCAAGTGTACCATGCCGGAAATACAGATGCCAATCACTATAATGGAGTTGCAATCGTAGTAGCAAAACACTTGGCTCAATCAGTTTTAACTTATATTTCCATATCTGACAGAGTAATGCTAGTAAAATTTAGTTCAAAGCCGTTCATTACCAACGTAATTCAGGTCTATGCCCCAACATCATCTGGTGATGAAGATAAATTAGAAGCATTCTACAAAGATCTTACTAATGCTCTAGATCTTGTCAAAGCAGCAGGAAATACCATAGTCCTCAGAGATTTTAACGCTAAAGTCGGCAAAGGACGCTGTTTGAACATTGTGGGGGAATGTGGCTTGGGAAACAGAAACGAACGTGGAGATCGACTTGTCCAGTTCTGTCAAGAACACGATTTCATTATATCGAATACCCATTTTAAACTACCACCGAGAAGACTCTACACCTGGAAGTCAAATGCAGAATCAGAGGACAAAATTATTAGGAATCAAATCGACTTCATTCTAATAAAAAATCGATTTAGAAACTGCATCAAATCAGTTAAAACTTATCCAGGTGCTGACATTGGGTCCGATCACAATCCCATAGTAGCTGTAACCCAATTAAAATTAAAAAAGGTGATCAAACAGAAGTCTCGCAAAAAGATTGATACAGCCCAACTACAAGACGAGAAAGTCAAGGAATCAGTTCAAAGACAACTGAACGAAAATTTAATTTGGGAAAATATTGGTGAAAACGTCGATGAGGGCTTAAATAAAATCGTAACGACAGTAAAAGAAATCTGTGTGAGAAATTTACAAGGCAGGTCAAAGCCAAAAAAGCAGGCTTGGATGACAGATGATATACTGGATTTGATGGAACAACGGCGACTAGCAAAAACCAACGAAACACTTTACAATAGCACACAAAAAGAAATTCGACGTAAAATACGAGAAGCAAAGAGTCAACATCTAGCCAAACAGTGTCATGACATTGAAGAACTCGAAAAAAGATACGACTATAAAAGGCTATAAAATAATTCTCAAAATACTGAAATGCGAGACATAATGAACAAGAATAATATTATGTCTCGCAGTTACCTCATTCGACGCCGGTCTGATAAGGCGCCACTATGGCGCTAAGGTCAAAATTTCAACATCGGACGTCGGGCGTGTGCACGTATTTTAGAAAAATGGTGATTCGAATGTTGTTTTTGAAATGAGGCCAACCGTCAATAACTGATTTAACAAGTTTCAACATGATCGAACTTCAGCATAGAGACTTACGAATAATAACGAACCTCTACTGGAATCAAAGAGCACAAATCGTCATAGATAACGAACCCAGTCCAGAAATTGAAATCAGGAGAGGAGTTAGGCAGGGATGTATTATGTTCCCATTACTATTTAATGTATATATAGTGAACCCATTTTTTAAGAAGCATTACTATCTCAAAGTGAAGGAATAATAATTAACGGGAGATCTATTAACAAGATAAGATTATGCAGATGACACCGTGATTATGGCAAGTTCTGCTGAACAACTCCAATTACTGCTAAACAAAACAAAAAGTTTCTGTAAAAAATATGTACTAAAAATGAATATAAAAAAGACCAAATACGTTATAATAACAAAGAAAACAAATATACCAACAAAGATACATTTGGGAAATGTACCGATAGAAAGGGTTGATAAATACAAATACCTAGAAACCTGGATTTCAGACAATAATGATCAAACAACCGAAATAAGAGCTAGAATAAAAATAGCAAGAAATGCGTTTGTAAAAATAAAAACAATTCTCTGCAACAAAGACCTTAGATAAGAATTGAGAGTAAGAGCACCGAGATGCTATGTGTTTTCGATACTGCAATATGGACTTGAAAGCTAGACATTGAAGCAAGAACACATAAATAAGTTACAGTCCTTTGAAATGTGGTGTTATAGGAGGATGCTTAGAATAGCATGGACACAGAAGAAAACTAACACGAAAGTATTGCGAGAAATGGGCAAAGAATGCGAAATAATAAACACAATAAAAATAAGAAAGTTACAATATCTGGGACACGTAATGAGGAGACAGCGATATGAACTGCCACGGCTGCCAAGCCAGGGAAAGATAAGAGAAGAAAGGAGAATAGGAAGAAAGAGAGTGTCATGGTTGGAGAATTTAAGAGACTGGTATAAATGCAGTTCTATAGAACTCTTCAGAGCAGCAGTAGATAAAGTGAAGATGGTGATGATGATATCCAACCTCCCATTGGGAGACGGCACTTAAAGAAGAAGGCAATAGGCATCTCAAGGGAACGTAGATGATATCCTGCAAGAAATTTTGGGCATGAAAAAGTTGTCAGTGTGATGGGTGCCACGTTTCGTATTCCGAAGAAGTCGCCCGGAAAGGTGATGGCTTACTGACTACCTAGAGAAGACGGTCCCATTTGTTGAAGAAAAAGTGCTCTTCTACCATGACAATGCACCGAGTCACATATCCCCCAAGGCCAAACTCGTCGAACTGGGCAACGAATTGCTGCCCTATTTAACGTATTCTCCAGATTTGGCCCCATTCGGCGTAGACTCGGCGACAAGAAGGTATTTTAAAGTAGCTCGGGAACTATCGCCGGGAGTACGAAGAACGAATCCTGTACTAAGGTCAGTCAAGAGACGTCCTGGACTGAGATGTCTTTTGAAGATTCCAGACCCCTCCCCCTCTATAAAGAAAAAAAAAAGATTTGGCCCCATGTGATTTATTTCCCCGCGCGATTTTCAAACTTAAAAAAGTTACTCGCCAGGCACAAATTTGAGTCGAATGAAGAGGTCATTGCCGCCACGGACACCTGCTTTGCGGCCTTCGAGATAATTTTTCGATGGGTTAAAGAAGTTGATCAAGAGGAACGACACAACTAGGACGCTATCAGCAGTTACTGGTGTAAGAACATCTTCCCTATTTCGAATAAAATATATTGATCGATCGATTTAAAATTTCCACCGATTAGTAGAATCAGAAATAAAATAACAATTTTACAAAACAAATTTTATTTACTGATGAAGCTACTCAATGGCATTGTGTTAAACAACAACAGAAGATATGCAGATGATACGGTTATCCTAGCAGAAAATAAAATACAACTCCAGATACTAATGAATATCTTCTTCTTAGGGTGCCTGTCCGTTCCGAACGTTGGCGATCATTCTGGCTATGATGACTTTGTTGGTTGCTATACGGAATAGCTGTGTAGGTCTTTCTATACCATGCTCTCAGGTTAGCAAGCCAGGATATTCTTCTTCGTCCTTCAATTTTACCTTGCAAATGCATTGGATGCTAATGAATATAATCATAGAATGGAGCAGCAGCTTGGGGTTGGGAAATTAATAGCATAAAAAAACAATTACGTTAGTTTTCAGCCAAGCCTTACAAGTCCATCACAAACCGTTCAAAAATATATAATCAATCTCCAACTGAACCACTAAAAGAAAATCCAGAGAAGAACCACCGTGAAAGCTCCCAAATCAGGATTCATGAACATGAGTCAACCACAAGAACAACTAGCGTAGAAGTTTGCCAAGGATGAATACTCGTCCACATCTGTTAAAGATTGTCAAAGTTAGGAAAACTTCATATCTCAGACATATAATGCGCCACAAGGAACACGAAAACTAAACTAATTATTGAGCACAAAATTGAATGTGGCTTAGAGACAAGAGACTGGACAAGATAAGAGACTGGATCAGAACTGAACGAAACGCTCTCATACATCAAACCTATAATAGAAAAGACTTTGTTATACCGGACGCCAATCTCAATCGAAATAAAACATAGGGGTAGGGAGGATGAAGTTACCTATCGTAGAGAAGTTTTTTACTGGATAAATAACACTGTTGGAATACTGAAAATTCATATTTATTTAGAGACACACATCTTCAACAGCTTTTTTAAAACAATAAATTTTAGTGATAAATTGTATTTACCAGTTTACAAGTTAACTTCCTAACGGGTTACTGGTACTATCATTTAAGATTAGAATCGTTATATGGTTCACGCAAAATGGGGTACCTCCCCGTTGTTCTTGATTCGCACGCAAATTTAAATCGGTCGAAGTTATCGATGACCACCTCGAAGTCAAGAACTCAATCCCTTAGATTTCTACTTCGGGGAACTCATAAAGTGCTTAATATATATTTATCAGTTAATAATCGCTACGAGTTATGGTGACAGATAATCAATTCTGCTTTTATTACTTCCTTTGACTGCAAAAGTTAATAAAATTGGTTACTCCATAGTATATTTCTGTAGAATTAAATTATAGATATTTAAAGTAAAAAAAAAACAAAAGAGAGAAATTTGTTTCAATAAGATAAAGATATTTTCAAATAAGAGACACACCGTGGTGTCAATTTTCTGTCATCAAAAATAGATGGCGCAACGTGGCATGGCTAGTCAGTTAAGTAAACAGCTTTGTTAAAAGCCCTGCATTTCTCTATCCAAATCTACAACTACTCCATGAAGCCTAACTAGGCAGAAACATGTTGTAATGTATGCAGAAATACTTTAATAGAGAAAAGACAGGCATTCATGATTTCTGGTGCATAATACACCGCTCTTTATAATGAAAATTATAGTTTGTTTCTGAAAGATAATCTATACCATTTTTTGTTGACAAAAAGGTAATACGCAGAAAACAGGTCATCTAAAGTAGACATTTTTTCGAATCCCAGTCGATTTAACAATAAATTATCAGAATAAACTGGTTAATAAATAGTACAAATTAGTGTGATCTAAAATAAAGGAACAATATATGGCTGATACATATGCAAAACAACTTTGAAACATCCAATATTATTTAGCAAATCGTTAACTTTGTTTTTTTTTCTTTTCACTGAGCTAATCTTCCAAAAAGGCATAAAACTTATAAAAAAGTATAAGTGAATCTTAAAAAAGTATAAAACAAACTGGTGTGGTGATAGTATAATCTGAGAGGTTCGTTTAGAATCAAAAGGAGCATGAAACTTTACAAATAAAATGAGCGAGTAGTGTAACTACTATTGTTGTCTATCAGAAATATGTATATGCAATAGTAATATGTGACAATAAAGTCTTAAATGGTAATCATAACGAAAACTAGTTTTATACTGAAATCTGGAATCTTGCACAATAAATAAATAAGAAAAGCCTTTCAGTGCACTCTATTATATTTTTAGACTTAATTACATAAGTTTGTATAACGTTAACGTTTTTAATGTTCTGAGAACTTTAGATTACTTTCCTCAAATTTAAAGGTTATTTAAATACATTTTCAAAACGAGTCATGCTGTACTATCCGATTCAGGATATATGTTTAGGAGATAGTGCATTGGCTATCATAGGCTGATATTGATTTTTTTTAACTTAAATGTAATAAAATTTTGACAACAGTCTCCTAGCACACAAATCCGTACTTCATATCCCTAAATGTTTTCAACAATTCAGTCCAAACGGCACCACTAGGTCTTCTTTATGGTCTACCTTAATATCGTTAATGCTATTCACTGCCAAATTCACAGATGACGAAATCTGAAACAAAAATGTCTTTAATTAATACGTATTTGTGATATTAATGGTCGAATAACAGATAATAATAGCTAATAATATATAAATAACAGGGATTAGTATACAAAGAGTTTCTTGGTAAACAACAAATTAGAATGTTGTTTGAAAATAACTGGATTATAAATCTGAAAATTTGTCTTGAGACATTGCGTAACTAGGAGGGGACCAGGGTAAGTCTGCCCTATCCCCTGATGGCCCTGCGACACCCCTAGAAATATTCTAATAGAAAAAGAGGCAGATGATTGAAACAGCCCAGAAATTAACTCGGAGTGGATTCGAAATTACTAGTGAGTGGATTGATTCATTGTTGCTTGCAGGATTGCCAAACAGATTCACCCCAATGATAATGGCTCTGGAACACCCTAGAATTCAAATTACAGGGGATGCAATAAAGTCCAAGTTAATTAATATGCAGAAAGATAAAACTGGTAGGAACGCGGGCAGCGAGAAATCTACTGCTTTTGTGCTTTTGCCAGTCAAGGCAAGTTCCGAAAACATCCCAAAGATGGTGGTGGCAGTGTTAATGACAATAAAGCACATGTGATTTGTTTTGGATGTAAACAAATAGGTCATTACAAAAACAAGTGCCCAGTTTTGAAAAGGGATTTTAAGAATTTTCGAAAACAGCAGAGAAAACCGGAGGATAAGAGTGCTTTTAGTGCGGTCTTTTTAAATGGTGAATTTAACAATTCAGATTGGTATATAAAGACTCTGGACCAAGTGTGCATTTAACGTCAAGAAATGACTGCCATGAATGAAAAAATGCCAGTGTTGTGTGTTGGAGAAGTAGAGTTAACTACAGTAAGTGGCAATAAAAACTTTGACATTGTAGTTAAAAATGATCATTATCATAATGTTCTTATATTCACCCAATATTACAACCAATTGACTGTCAGTTGATTTTAAATGGTAACAAAGTTGTTTTTAACCAGAAGGGTTGTGAGATTTTTAATAGTAAAGGTACAAGTGTGGCTACAGCTGATTTAATTAATTAAATTTATAGACCTAATTTTGTCAAGTCTCAGCCAGTGGTGTTCTCTATTTATGCTCAGGACTGTTGTGATTTGTGGTTTTGGTCACATCAACTTTAGAGATTTGGGTATAATGAGGAACGGAGCAGTTTAGGGCTTGAACTATAAAGGGCGGGCAAGTTTGCATAATCTATGTCAAGTGTGCTGTGAGGGAAAACAGATTCGGTTGCCATTCAAGAGTAGTGGAAATTGTGCTGCACAATTGCTCGAGGTTGTGCATGGTGATTTGTGTCGTCCCATGGAGATGATGTCCATCAGAGGATCTAGATATTTTTTGGTTCTTGAAAATGACTTGAGTAAGATGGTTTTTGTTTATTTTTTAAAATACAAAAGTGAAGCTCTAGATAAGTTTAAGGAATTTAAATTGCTAATTGAGAACCAAAAAGGGGACAAAATTAAATGTTTTAGGTCTGACAACGGAGGAGAATTTTGTAGTGCTGACTTTGAATCATTTTTAAGTAGTAATGGTATAACACATCAAAAAACAAATCCTTACACCCAGAGCAGACTTGTACTTCGGAGAGAATGAACCGTACCCTGGTGGAGAAGGCAAGGTGCTTACTATTCGATGCAGATTGTCCTAAGCAGTTTTGGGCTGAAGCCATCAATACTGCTGCATACTTAAGGAACAGGTCTGTGGTCAGAGTTCTTGAAGGTAGAACACCATATGAACTCTTCTATGGTAAAAAGCCAGATGTGAGTCATGTTCGAATCTTTGGTAGTGAGGTAATGGTTCATATACCCAAAGAAAAAAGGCAGAAGTTTGACAAAAAGGCAGAGAAGATGTTCTTGGTTGGTTATGGTCAAAATGTGAAGAGCTAAAGACTCTATGATCCCATTAAGAAGAGTGTAATTACCAGTAAAGATGTGTAAAGATGATTTGGATTTAACAGGGTTTGTTGATGCTGATTGGGCCTCAAATAAGTCAGATAGAATATTTTACACAGGTTTTGTTTTTAAACTTTCGGGGATGCGATTTCTTGGAAGAGTGTTAAACAGAAATCAGTGGCTCTTTCTAGCACTGAAGCGAAGTATGTAGCTTTAGGGGAGGCTACTAAGGAAGCCATTTACTTGAGGAATTTGTTGTCGGAAATTCAAGGAAGACTGGATTCAGTTGTTTTGTATAATGACAATCAAGGGGGTCAGAAGTTGTGCATAAATCCAGTATTCTATGAAAAACAAAACATATTGACATTCGCCACCATATCATCAGAGAGGCTATCCAAAATAATGTTATTGAGTTGAAGTACTTGAGTATTGATGAAATGTTGGCTGACATCCTCACTAAAGGGTTGAAAAATATTAAAAATTCTAAATTTAGGCTAGGTTTGGGTTTGAAAGTTTAGATATTTTTTGATAAGTGATGGTGTTGTGATGTATCAAAAAAAGGTATTTTGATACATGTAGCACCATCTTTGTATAACGTTTGTAAACATTCGATGTACAGCGTGTTGCCAATATTGATTATTGAAATAAAGTCGAAGTCGTTGCTATCGAACAAAACATGGCGTTTGTTATTTCAATGTACCCCAGAAAATCCTCACTTCCACTATAATTTTCAAGATCTCCTTTAAGGAATTTACAACTGGGTTCAATTGTTAGGTGTTTAAACGTGCTACGTAATTTTTTTTATTTCATTCATACTGTCTCCAGGATATTATCGTTTATGTTCCACTTATTATTTCCTGTCTCTGTTTTAATCAATATTAATACTTTCAAACACTCCTCTTATCAATAATAGACATTAATATACACCAAATAAAAAGTCAAATGGGACATTATAGTCAGCGAATATTTTATCACCATCAACAATTATATTAAAGTTAACAATAATATTTTAAAATTTGTGTGGTTTTTTATCAAGGAGGCGTTTTATCTGTTTAGTTAAATACAGGATGATTCAATATCCCAAATTGATATCTAACAATGAATAAGTTCTGTCTTATATAATTAATCATAACTGCAATCAGATATTCACCTTATAAATTCATGTTTGGACTGCGACAAAAATATGATCTAGATAAATATGAAACACTATCAATAGAAATACTTTCAGCAAAGATGAAAATGACAATGAAATACGGCTATTTTTAGATATATATTTTTATTTCATCTTATTAAAAATATTCTAATATTCAGCGCTGGAATGTTTTTTGGGGGTAGATTTCCAACTATCCATCTCATCTTTTCCAACAGTTTTCTCTAAGCGTAATACTTGGTAGACTGCCTTGCTCTATTCATCTCACATGACGCCGCCTCTGTTTTCCCTATTTTACTAAATCCTGCACCGTACATTGTGTTCTTATAGTTTCTCAATATAGTCGTTGCTATAACGGCACATCGAAAATAAATCATAATTGGCCATGCAATAACTAGTTAGTCAGTTCAACGCAAGAAACCCAAAACAGATATGAATATAACCTAACTTTTAAAAAGAATGTATACAATAACTTGATTTGTTTAAAACACAATTTTAGTGAAAATAAAGTAATCTAAAAAACGTTAAGTTCTTTTTGCTAATTTTGTAATATATACAGAGGATCTACTTGTCAGGAATGTAATAAAATTCATAAACAAGGTCATTCAAAGTTAAACCTTATTTGTCAGTGTGCTGTCTTATAGGTATATACCCTGTATATTTAATGCATATTTTTTATTGAAGTGAAGCTTCTATAGTGGCGTTGTATTACTTTTTTCTCTATAGCAAAATGCTGAGGCGAGCTCCACAAATTTTTCTGTCACTTAGTATACCGTTACAATAATAAATATTATGGCGTATAAAAACTGTAAACATATTTACTCATTCAGGAATGTTCTAGGTCAAATACTACCGAATTCTCCAAAAGGGTGGAATAACCAGTCCAGGTAACAATAATGCAGTCGACGGCCCGAGCCCTCCGAATTTTATTGGACGAGAAAGCGATCGATTTTTCTAGTCTAGCTAAATGAGTCACCTAATGGATAGAACGGCATCGATGCATCGCCAGACCCTTCTAGATAACGGCATTTCATATAAATAACGGTGATTCTCATTGAGGAAGATTAGTTAAGAAAAGAATTGTAAGAATTGTATCGCACGTACATTAAGTGTAAAATAAATTAGTAGTAATAAAGACTTTGATAAATTCGTGTTATAAATATTGAACCTTTAGTAAATTAAGATAAGAACAATAAATTAGAATTAATAAAGACGGTATAATACGAACTTTAGTATGCCAAAATTGTCTGTTTGTACCTTAAAAATTAAGAGAAATGTATAAGTAGGTGAAAGAATTAAATTCTCCACAAATCATGCAAGATTTGATGATTTTTTTCTGTAGAGGTATAAGAACCCTGTATAATTTTTAATTAATTCAACCTCGCAATTGTTATCTGTGTTTGGTTCAAAGGTTTATTATAATCACCGATGCGTACAAGTTCTTGTAAATATTGTAATTACAGTCGATTTTAATAATACCGATTAACAATAAGCTTAGATATAAGTTTTATTATTTCGAATAATTCTATGATTAATTTGATATTTTCAACAGTCAAATATTATTATGTTTGGGTCAGAGCTTGGCAAAAGAATTATCCTAGCCAATACAGCTTACTTTGCCATAAACCAGATATTTTAATCACGAGACGTACAGTTCCCGTCATATAAAACTGGTACACTTTTTTTCCCCAATGTAAACTTGTGTTCGGACTTGGTTCGTGAATCAATTCGTTGTTGCCATCACAGATAACGGAATTGCACTAGATCTAAATAAAAAAGAACGTCGGTTAATAACCAGAGAGAGGGTTGAGTTAATGCCCAAAATGTTTAAAGGGTCTTAAACGTAGGGTATTGGCACACGGAACATTAGAATGCATCTACTGTAATTTTATAATGTGTCTGTCGCACAGCCCTCCTTTTAACTGATTTGATATAATATTGTGTTAAACTGTCAACGTTGGCATAGAAATTAGAATGACATATGTGACAAGATCAACTTACACAACTTAAAAAACACGATTTTCGGTTATAAGAGTTGTACCAATTATTTATGATGCGAAGGGTACACCAAAGAACTAAGACACGAATCTACAAGATCATAAGCTCGATACTGAGCTATGGATGTAAAACTTAGGTGTTGACTCAAAAATCTGTAAACCGCATGGACATCTTTGAAAGAAAGGTACTGAGACGAATACTAGGCCCTATAAATGAGAAAAACAGGTGGCGAATCAGATACAATTATGAAATATATAATATATACATATATATATATATATATATATATATATATATATATATATATATATATATATATATAAAAACCACCTTTATCTCAGTATGTCAGCCTACAGCATCTTCAATGAGCAGGCCATGTATTTAGGATGAAAGAAAGCAGGCTTTCAAAAAGCTTTTGAATGCAAGAATGCAGGGTAAGAGACCTATTGGACGACCGAGAAAGCAATGAGAGGACGATTTTCGGAATAATAATTACATTACAAGTAAAAACCTTTTAAATTACATGCAGTTGTAAAAGATTGTACAAAATGTTATGAATATGTGATGTTAAATATTAAATTGAATTTGACTTCAGGTAACATACACCCATGGTTGAAGTGAGTTCCAGTGTCCGGAGAGTAAACCTCTTGAAACGAACTACAGCTGGTAACTGATTGATCAATTTACATGGTTTTTAGTGGTGTTTATAAGGGCAGTTAAATTTTTAAAACATTATGTGAATGTTCTTAATATGTCGTAGTCATCAGTGGTCGTAAAGATGAGCCCTAGTCTGAAAACCTGGTTATCAGACTTTAAATTTTTCTAAGGACTTAGTGTAGAAAGTATTATTATATAAGAGTATTTAACTTACCATATTTAAATCGTCAGCATTTATTGGTTCTGAGTTTAGCACCTTATCTGGGTTGGGAATATCTTGTAGTATGGAATTTAACTTTTTACTATATTTGTGTTTATTGCTCGCTAACACTTGTTGGACTTTTATATTATAAATTTTCATCCTTTCTACATATTCATGTTGCTGCAAATTATGTGAGTCTAAAGCAGCTACATCAATCACATTTCTACAACAATAAAATTATTAATAATCAATGATGCACTATAAAATCAAGATACAATAAAAAAGCATTATGACTCAGCTAAACTGAGTCTTGCAATTCCAATTATTATATTTGTGCCGAAACTCCGATGAAACTTAGTCTGTATTATTAAGTAAAACTTTAAGACTAACTATAATAAATACACTGTACGTCTAAAAAAGAAGACGCAAAGATTAAAAAGATAAAGTCAAAACAAATTGGAACAAACTACAAACGTATTTATGTAAAGTTTTATTATTGACTAATATTACTTTCGTCTTATGATACTAACACTCTTCAAAAATTTTCATTACAATACTATGGTTTTTAAGAGTCAGGTTTTGAAGCATCAGTTTTTGGATTTAGTACGATATCTGATGCAGACTTATGCATCCGTAATTTAGGAACCGACTCATCTGACCTACACGGTGGAACAAATTTATTTGAAACCCATTTTGACTTTAGTTTTGTTAAAATTTTGATAAACTTTGAAGCCTATATGGATAGCTGTGCTGGTCTTAGCTCTCGTGGAGGAGGAGCTCTGAACTGAGTAGGGGCTCTTCTGTACTCCACGGAAGACAGACTGGACGGGGGATGTCCTCAACCTCGACACGGCACGTCGCATATGGCTGATAGGGAAAGTTCCTGCACATATGCAGGACAGGTACGAATAAGGCATTGCCAAATAAGTACCAGCGGATCAACTGAGGATATGACATTAGGCAGCAGTCATGTCATTACTGGATTTAAGGCTATGGGAAGTAAAAATCCTGTAGGCTTAATTCCAGATACTCACAGGCGTCACTCACATTATGAGTTAAGCGGCTGTGATACTGCGACAACAGCGGCGTCTGACCCATAGTGGGCGGCTGCAAACAGAGTCTGTTCCCAAAGTGGGCGGCTGAAACGGAAACTTTGCCAATACGCAGTGGCTCGCGTGGCATTGAACTTAGCCAAAAACCCTTACAAATGTCAAATTTTAAAACAAAACGGAAACTACCCCAGGTGAGTAGACACTCTCATACTGATTTATCAGTCTGTCCCAAGGATTCTGGGGGGGGACACAAATTTGACAAGAGCATGCTTTAAAAAACAAACAGTTCTCAAAATTGCAACCATGAATACTAGAACTCTACTTTCTGATGAAAGCTTTAAAGAAATGGAAGAATAATTAGAAAAGATCAGATGGGACATCGTCGGAGTTAGTGAAGTGAGAAGGAGAGGTGAAGGCCTCGAGACCCTAAAATCCGGTCACTTGTTTTACTATCACGGAGAACAACATAAGTCAGTAGGAGGCGTCGGATTCTTCATTAACAAACAGCTAGCAGGAAATCTAATAACTGTCCAATCAGTATCCACTAGAGTTACATATGCCACCTTTAAAATAAATACTAGATATAATCTAAAAGTTATCCAAGTCTATGCTCCAACAACAGAATATACAGACGAGGAGATCGAAGTCTTTTATGATGATTTAAGTACAGCCATCACAAACAACCGCACACATTTCACAGTTATATGTGGAGACTTTAACGCCAAAATAGGAACAAAACTGGATCCAGCAGAAACTGCTCTTGGAAATTTTGGAAGTCAGGGACGGAACGACCGTGGCGACACTCTTTTAAACTTCCTACTAGAGAAAAACCTATTCCTAATGAATAGTTACTACTACAAGAAAGCTCACCGCAGATGGACGTGGAAAAGCCCAGATGGGAACACTACAAACGAGATCGATTACTTTATCACTGATAAAAGATACATATTTACAGATGTGACAGTGCTAAATAAATTTGCGAAATCAAGCGACCATCGTATGGTGAGAGCCACCATTGTGTTAAATACCAACTATGAACGACACAATATGATCAAAAAGAAGCAAATAAACATATGGACACATCCAAACAACGAAGAAAATTTTGAAGATCATATCGGTAAATTCCTTCAAGAAAAATCATCAACAAATGATATTAACATTCTAAATGACATAATAGTAGAAGCAATAACAGAAGCTCAAAAGAAATGCTGCCCAAAAAGCGTGAAGGAAGAAAAAATTAGTCTGGAAACACAGAAAAAAATGGAACAAAGAAGAATACTGAGAAGCGACGAAAACTCTAGTAACGACGATATAAATAGAATGAACAAGGAAGTATCAAGAGAAATCAGAAAAGACCTAAGAAAATACAAAGATGAGAAAATCATCAAAACCATTGAGGAAAATAAGAGTATGAAAATAATGAGACGCAAACTCACAAATGGAAATAAACAAATAGTCAAACTCAAGGATAGAAATGGCAACATCACATCAAACAGAGAACATTTGTTACAAATTGTGGAATCATTCTATGAGACATTATATAGCAACCAATCGACTCTAGATATAGTCGAATATCAACAGAGGAAGGTTCAAAATCAGGGTTCCGAAGATATTCCAGAGATCTCCTTGAGCGAAATTTACAAGGCCTTAAAAAAGATGAAGAATAACAAAGCTCCGGGGGAGGACGGTGTCGTCACGGAAGCGATAAAGATAGGAGGCTCAGTACTGACAGCCAAAATTCAAAAGCTCTTTAATCTATGCCTATGGAATCAAAATATCCCAACAAAGTGGAATAATTCAATAACTGTACTCTTACACAAAAAGGGAGATATAGCAGACCTGGAAAGATACAGACCAATCAGTCTCCTTAATCATCTTTATAAATTATACACCCGAATAATAACGAATAGATTAGAGACAAAGCTGGATTTTTACCAACCTCGGGAACAAGCTGGTTTCCGCCCTAATTACGGCACAAACGATCACCTGCAGTGCCTAAAAACCCTAATAGAAAAAACTAACGAATATAACCGTCCCTTGGCATTGATATTTGTAGACTTTAAAAAGGCGTTTGATACAGTGGAACTACCGTCCATCTTAAGAGCACTACAAGATTGCAGGATCGACCACAGATATTTTAATATAATTAAAAATATATATGAAAATGCCACAACAACCATAAATCCATATTCTGCAACTAATAAAATAAAGATAAAAAGGGGAGTCAGGCAAGGTGATACCATGTCACCAAAGCTGTTCATTACCGTTCTTGAGTATGCATTTAAAAAACTAACATGGCAACAGAAAGGAATATCCATCGATGGAGAAAGATTAAACCATCTACGTTTTGCGGACGATATCGTGCTTCTGTCAGATAATCTGGGAGAGATCAAAGACATGCTCCAAGAACTGAATGACATACTACAAGAAACTGGGCTGGAGATAAATTTCGAGAAAACCAAAATGATGACCAATATGGTCGAAAAGATACAGATCAATAACAACAAGGTAGAATTAATCGATAAAAACACATACTTGGGTCATAAAATTAGAATAACCAGAGACAACCAAACCTGCGAGCTAAATAGACGAATCATGTTGGGATGGGCGGCATATGGACGGATGAGAGACATTTTTAAAACAAATATCCCAATTCACCTGAAAAGGAAGGCATTCAACCAATGCATCTTACCAGTCTTGACCTACGGAGCAGAGACCTTAACTTTAACGAAAGCTACTGCCGAAAAACTGAGGGTAACACAAACGCGAATGGAGAGATCAATGCTGGACCTGACCTTGAAAGATCGCGTAAGAAATAAGGAGATACGCCGACGAACTGGCGTAGACGATATTATACTGCGAATCAATAAACAAAAGTGGAGGTGGGCTGGACATGTTGCTAGAATGGAAGACGGAAGATGGACGAAGAGATTATTGGAGTGGAGACCAAGAGCCGACAAGCGAAGTCGAGGCAGACCACCCACCCGATGGACCGACGACCTAAGGAGAATAGAAACAAACTGGATTGCAGCAGCTAGAGATAGAGAGAACTGGAGACGTTTGGAGGAGGCCTATATCCAACAATGGATGTGAAAATTCGGCTGGATGATGATGATGATATGGATAGCGCATATATCAATTAAAATTTACAAGACTAACGGAAAAACTTTGGGGGGTTTAAGTCAGGGTCATTTTTATAAAGGCTTACTTTCAAGGTCGTTTCAAAAATGAGATTCTGAAAGGTCGTACATAGTCTTCTTCTTCTTCAGGTGCCATCTCCGCTACGGAGGTTGGCAATCATCATAGCTATCTTAATTTTTGAGGCAGTAGCTCTAAATAGTTGTTTTGAGCTGCATCCTAACCATTCTCTCAGGTTCTTCAGCCATGAAATTCGTCTTCTTCCGATGCTTCTTCTGCCATCTATTTTTCCTTGCATTATGAGTCGCAGGATGCCATACTTATCGCCCCGCATCACATGTCCGAGATACTGTAGCTTTTATTAAATTATTTTTTTTATTTAAATGGTAATACAAATTGTTTAACGAAATAATACAACTTAAAATTAATTAACTAAATTCATTATGGATGTGTGCCCCATGGTTATTTATTACAGCTTACAGTCTTCGATGCCACTGTCCAATTGATCAGTTAAAAATTTCTGTAATAATTTTCTAAAAAAGTATCTGATGTTTTACATTGCTCACAACAACTGTGAGCAGACATTAATGTGTTTAGTTTTGTGTTAATATTATTAAAAATTTTAATACAATTTTAAGTAATTTTTGAATTTAAATATTAACAGGGTGACTATTGCAAAGACCTTGAAAGTAAGCCTTTATAAAAATGTTGGTAATAAATGGTTGTAATAAAAAATTGGTCCAAAACTAAAAAAATTATTAAAGATCAAAATGGGTGCCACATAAATTTGGCCCACCATGTATATATAGCAAGGTTCACTACGAAATAGGGCTATGTAAATAAAGCAATATTGTAGTCTTAAAGGATCCTTTCTGCTCTATTTCCAGATCATTTAGGGTAGCTTTCCTTAGTCAGTACAAATTGGATCCTGCTCATTGAATCTCTTAATTCAAATAATTCATTAATATTTCCATCAATTTATTTTGTATAAGATTTGTATAAGGTCATTGTATAACATGGTTTGAAATGTAGCAAATTTTATTGTAGTACTTGAACAAATCAAAAATCTTCTTGGAATAAAGCAGAACCCTGCTTATATGACTTTTGTTACTTATTTATTTAACTTTACCTTTACCCTGAGGAAGCACCACCAAAGTACCTAAACAACATATAAATACCACAATACACAAACAAGAAATATTTAGGAATTAACACATGATAACAGATGCATCATAGTATGTCTCCAATCAAACACTACATGAAGAGCTAAAGAAAAAGCACAGAACACAATAATAAATTAGAAACCCACACAAACTTGTTAGTTCACTCACTACTACAGCCCCATACCAGAAGATTCAAAATAAATTGGATACCAGAGCTAAAAAATGGTTGAAGAGAGATAAGATAAGGTTGGAAAAGGCCTTATCACATCAATCTAAGGTCAAAACCTTTATAGGATAGAACATTGTATTCTTATTGATAATTGAAATATAAACTTAAAAAAAATGTATTTTATTTAATCTTATGCCGAATTTTGATAATTGATTTGTAAATTTGTAATGTAGAAAATTTCATGATATAATCCTCAACAGATATTTTTACTATCATACTAGCAGACCCGACATACTTCGTTCTGTCAAATAGATTTGTAATAAGGCAGTTAATTTCTTTAATTATTCTGGACAGAACCGTCACCATGATGATAACGCGGTGTGTAAGGGTCAGCTCGAGTGACCTAAGTATCTTCGCTTCCACAAACTTTGACCACCCTTTTGGACCCACTAAAAACCCCGACTAGGATGTCTGCCAGAGGGCTTCAAACTAAGAGGGGAACTTAAGGTTCAAACCTGATTGAAAAATAATCTAAAGAGATAGTGGGAACCTAAAGGTGACAAATATTTATAAAGTGGGTGCTTCAATGACAAAACATAGAGATAATTAATTATATTATTATTATTATTAACATAATTCAATCAAGTGAATCATAATTATTGACAAAAATCTGTTTTAATTTTATTGTAGTGCTTTATGATATACAATGTTTTTTGTTTGATTACCTGGTGACTATACAAACAAATCTGATGGTTTTAAAACATGGGAACAGACAACATACAATTGAACATGTGAGAAACATGTGTTTTCTAGATTAATACCACAAACACATAATGATTGCCCCGGGGACTTATTTATGATCATAGCAAAAGTAAACCGCACTGGAAACTGTAGTCGTTTAAATTCAAATGGTACATCAGTCAGAATCGTTGGGATGCGTGGTATAAAAACGTCTTCTCCTTTATACTTTCCTTTCAGTATAGTTGCTTCTATCACGTTGTTCGATAATTTTTTTATGGCTAACCGTGTGCCGTTGCAAAGACGCGGTTGGCTAATATTTCTCAACATTATAAGTACCAATCTAATCTTTAATTGAAGACTGTGAGGTGGCAATCCTGGTTAATCCAGGGTTTAAAAATTCAGGGGGATAGTTGACGACATCTCTTGGTTAGTAGCCCAATCAACTGATTTATATATCCTCAATTCGCCTGTAATTTATTCTTGAATTTTGAAATTTAATTCATTTACATCTATGTTTTTTGCACCCAATATAGTCCATTCGCTCAACTGATCATGGTTTCTGTAATTTTGAGCAGCATCTGGAAATATCATCATCATCATCATATAACGGGGGTCCTACGGCGATTGCCGCTTCCCGCATTTCAGCCTCTATCTTTTCCTCTCTCTCTCTCTCCATCTCCCTCTTCTAAGCCTCTAGATTGCATTGTTTTTGTAATTTCTCTTCTCCAGGAATTTGGTGGTCTTCCCCATTTCCTTCTTTCTGGCGGAACATACATTAAGGCTTTCTTTGGCCACCGCTCCTCCTCCATTCTCATCACGTGACCATACCATTGTAATTGCCTTCCTTGTATTCTATCTGAAAGAGTATCTCAAATTCCTGTATGGTTTCGTATTTCCTCATTCCTGATTCTTTTAATTCTCTATACTCGACATGGCCTTCTAAGATAATCCATTTCCACAACGTCTACTTTATCTTGTTCATTCTTTATCATTGTCCAACATTCGGCACCATATATGGTAATTGGTTTTACAATTGCTCTGTATACACGAAGTTTGGTATGTATCTTTATTTTATTAGACCACAGTAATGAATTCAGTATTGGATGCATTTTTTCCCTTGGGTTATCCTTATATTTAATGAAATGAAATTAGCAGATTGGGATAAGCCTTAATCAATTTTGTGGGCAAAATTTCCCACTGAATCAGTTATAAACTACAAAAAACTCCTATAAAAACAAAATGTTCTTTCTTTTCTGGATTACTCACTTGACAATAAGTAGATAAGAATATATATTTTTACTGTTTAGATAGAAAAACCTAAGCAATTTCTGCTGAATGCATTCCACACTCACATTATGAGAGTAGGCCACAGGTGATAAAACCACTAATGCATACTCTAAAAAAGTCCATTATACTGTTTAGGAAGTTATTGTAGATAAGCTATTTAAGTTCCTGGAGATATAAATAATAAAATCAAATTAGACTGACTTTTTTAATCACAAAATCAAGTATAAGTTTAAATTTTAGATTACTTCCAACATATACATAATGTGCTTTATTTCACATTTTCTTTGTAAAACTGAGCCATTGATGGAGGCTCAGAAGTGCGAACTATAAGTATACTGAGTAAGTGTTACCAATTTTTACTGTGTATTCACATCCTGACAGATATAAGACAAAAATAGATAGAGTCCTAATTCCACTAGTTGTTCAATTAGAACTGCATGGTCAATTAAGGTCAAATAATATACTACACAGGAATACTGTACTGAAGCAGTATGAATACCATACTGAAACAATCAAGAAGTAAAGTACTGCTGAGAAAAAAAGAAAATATGCACAGCTGTAAAGCAATTTATCTATAATTACACAAAGTATGCTTACGTTGCAGTTTCTTGTAAAATTCTGTTCAGTGCAGATTGCTCATCAGTCTTCTTAGGTAAATTATTTGAATTTCGGCTTAAAATATCTTCACTGAAAAAAAAATCCATGAAAACTTAATAAGAAAGCAGAATATTGTGATAAGGTTTTTTTACCTGTTTGTTATGTGAATATTTGTGCTATTTGATACTGGATCTACTAACAAATGTGTTCTTTCATTAGGCTCTCCAATCTAAAAATAAGATATAAGGAAAATCATAAAGAAATACATTAGTTGATATATTAAAAGTGTATAAGTATCTGATTATATTGTTTATTTAGTCTCTGCAGTAACAGATTGTATAAAAATCATAAAATTTATCCATTGGAGCAACAAAAATAGAAGAATACAGAACTCATAAATAATGGGAACCAAATAAAATACATATAAATCATAATTATCTTGGCCTTTATACCTAAGTGAGGCCAACTTTCCTAATTATATTTCTCCATAAATGCCTATAAATAGCTGGATAGAAATAAAAAAAAGTAATTTTCCTTCATTGTCAACATTCTAATTTGTCAATCCAAAGTAAGAAGTGTAATTTTTTATGTGATTGTGTCATGTAATCAAAAACATCTGACAGAAAATACAAACTGAAAAATAAATCTAAACTAAGAATGGAGACCTGTGCACTAATAAAATAAAATTTTTATTTTGTGTACTTAATTAAATTTAAATAAAAAATTATATGACAACCTGATTCAATAAATAAAAGTCAAAAATTACGGGTGACAACCAACGGGTGTCAAAAAAAGAGAGATCATGAAACAAACACCTAAAATGTTGAAAAATATTTGCAAAACATTTCAGGGGGAAGAACATCTTCTAAGGAAAAGATAGAAAGCAAAATGACAATTAGACAGCATAAAGCATATAGAGAATTGCAATAACAACAAATAAGGAAGAATAATTACATTAATTTGCATACACTATAACACAAAAGAAGATACCTGTGAGGAGGTCTCGTCCTTGCAAAAAAAGCTGTAACAGCACCCCATTGTAGAAAAGCACTTATTATTATCTAACTTGGTTTAACATATAGAAGGCGAATGTTTATTATTGTATGTTACTACTCCTTTTTTATCGCATATGAAGTAAAGTTTATTTACTTTACATATCTCAACTTTTCATCCAATCTGTCACTGTCAGCCTCTTTGAAATTTCTGACAACTTGACAAGTGACAATGACAAGACAGTTGTTGAAAATAAACGTTCAGAGAAATAATTCACCATGACAAAATATATACAACAAAAAATACTCATAATCTTAATAATTATTATTATATCCAATTTACCAATAGATTAATAAATAGACTAAACAAAATTTAATAAATTGAATTCAATAATACAGTAGTAATAGGAAATGTTTTTCAAATACCTCTAAACGCTTTTAAAAAAAATCGCGCCAGTGTAAAACAACAATTATAATTATACCTAAATCAAATTGGGGGAAACATTAAAAAGATGCAGTGACGGGAACAATGGGCGGATTATAAAATAAAATGATAATGTTCTAAGATAGTAATATACATGTATGGAGTTAGGTATAATACAAAATTGGCAGTAAAATGTTCTTGTTAAAATAAGTAACAAGTTCTTGAAATCTCTTGAACGTAACTTTTGTTTTTCTTATTGGTAACGTCGCAATTCGGATTTTTTTATTGCTATTACTACAACCATCAGCTATAATCACCAAATCGTAGGTCGAAAGATTTATATTAAAATATGGGGGTTACCGTGGAGCAATAATCATACAAATTTATAGATATCCAAGCATTATTCTAGCTTAATAGATTTTCAGAGTTCAACAGCTATTTATCTATGTATTTCATAAAAATAAAAAAACAAATGACATTAGAAAGTATGATTTTTATCATGTTTTAAAAAACAAGATCAGTTGTCTTTTTTGACACAAATTAATTTTCAAAATCAACAATTTTCCTTTCTTTCTGTTTTATTCGTACGTCTACTTACCAACAGGTGGCGACTCAGTTCAAAGATTTGTTTTTCCAAAGAAATTTTATCTTTAGGCCAGCTAGTTGTTGCTAAGCAACGTACAAACAATCTTGGCCAGATTAGTGTTTATAAACTTTTTTACTATTTATCCCGATACTAATTTTACCTACATAATATTAAAAAATGGAAGATGTTAAAGAAAAAAGTATTCATCATATGACCGTTAAAATTTGCGAGGAATTGAAGAAATCTCCATATCATACAAGATTATTTGAAGATATACAGGTTGTACCTATAATTGTTGTATTTAATGTTTTCAATTTCGTTTGTTTTCTAATGTAATACTATGTGCACAATGCCTTATATTAAATTATATAACATTGTTCTGAAGCTCTAATAGTAATTAAATTATATAACATTTTTATATAGGTATTATTACCTAATAATGATATAAAAAAAGGTAGGGATATAATGACGACATAAAGAAGCCCATAATTTCAGAAAACTCTGGAGTGGATTCTATTTATTTTATTTTCTGTATTCTTCATTTCTTCTAATGTCTATTTTTCACCAAATATTGACAAACATCGTGACGATTTACAACTCGCTGCGCCGATAGTCATATTTCAGTTTTTGTTATGGTTAATGAAACTTAAATGTCGCCTGATAAATAAGGTCGAGATGTCCTTAGCTTCTACTCTGCTGTACTTACTTTATAGAATTAGCGACAGGACGAGCCTGAAGAGCTCCTTAACCACAACAAGGTCTCCCTTCTAACGCGTTTAGTAATAATATAATTCCCAAGTTCTAGACTATAATGTGGAATGAAACCATCATACAAATCTCAAGAATCAAGTCTTTAATTTAGATGTTTCTATATCTTCTAAACCAATTGGTAAATCTTCTCTAAAAAAATTGAGATAAGTTGATCCGTCAAGCCCTTTTTCTGTACGCGAAATCATCCTCTCTAGTAATTAAATTTCTATCTTGGAGCATACCAATATCAATTTTTTTATTGACATGTTGTGCCTAAGCGTTCCTCAGCAGGTCTTCTTTGGTCTTCCTTTCCTACTCCTTCAAGGAACCTGCAAGTCAACACTTCTTTGTATTGGTTGATAGTGTGATATAGCCCCTTGACGTTGAACATGCCCTAACCATCTTAGCTTTCTCTTAATCTTGAATGAGAAGTGCAATGGAATGGGACTACCGATAGGAGATACGATATAAGCTGCTGCTGCATTTCTGTACTTTTAGATCGCTATACTTTTTTCTTTTCTTGTAAGTACGTGGATCTTGATCTTTCTTGACTTGGTCTGTGAAAATCGTCATGATATCCGCAAGAGTCTCGTACGCATTATGTCTATTGATAATGTCCCGATACTCCTTCAGTTTCACATTCCATAGATATTCAAAAGAACGGTAAAGATCGATAAATTGATCCATTTGATGTGCAGAAAATCTTAGTTCCGCCATTTTTAATTTATAATTTCTACCACTTTGACGCTCACTCGTACAGGAACTGACACTGAACTGACATGACAGGAACACGGTTTGCGTTCAACTTCAATCCGAGCTCGGATCCGAGTGACAAGAGGTTCCGAGTAGACGTTTATAATGTTTTTATACTTCCAAGTTGCACTTCGAGACTGACTTTTACTAATTCGAGGATATTATATATTAATTTATCATTGTCAATGTCAAACTTTATTGTTTATTTTTTAAGATTTGACAAATGCGTTTCAGAAATTGGTTATTACGCCTAGTGTAAAATCGGAAGATTTTAAAAATTCTCTGCTGAAAGCTATGCAAGAAAACGGTTTGGAAGCTGAATTAAAAAATACCATATACAGATTCGTGAAATCCAAAAAACGAGAAAACAACACGTACGATGCATTTTTCAGGTAATTTTAAAATTTTTATTGAAGTTCATTATATTTAATGATTGCTAAGAACTAAATTGTAATGCAAAGTTATGAAAGTTGTTGGGGAAGTAAAAAAATATTGAGAATCCAAATTGACTTAAATACAATAGTGAAATAATTATATATGACATAATATACTATGAGGTTATAAATCAATAATACCAACCTGATCCTAAATAATTTAACAAATATAAAATGTTCCTACCTATTTCTTTGACTAAAGAGAGCGTTTGACAGGCTAAAGAGTCAAAAATGCTAATGCTAATGCTAAATGAAAGCAGTGCTTATTATGCAATGATAAACTGGCAATAGAAATTAGAACTAGAGTATTGAAATGAGAGTAAAATATTCTCTGCCCTTTTATATGGATTTGAGCCTGGACAATTACAGACGTAACTGAAAAAATACTTTTTTTGTGGACTACTTAGTTATTTAGCTAGATACGTGTCGAGAAATATATGGTCTCAAAAAATGCTCTACTCAATAAATTAAATCCAACTGCGATAAAAATATTTAATATATTAAGTATTTTTAAAATAACAATACTTACCGTAACAGCCGACGAAAGCGATACAGCAAATATGTTATAGGTTCATTTTTAGTGTCAGGTGCATATATTATTTATCTATGGCCAGGTGCGTTAAAATGACAGCTTGGTATGGTGAGTTCGTAGATTGCTTTTTCGATTTTATTAACTATTTTATTTCCGATGAGCTCATTTGCCTCTGTCCATATTTACCCTGATTGACGTTGATTTGATATAAATATAATTTCATATAAATACAATTAGTAAAATATTTTACTAATTGTACATGGACACAAAATACTCGAGGGCTGAAATCAATTAATCATAGACTATACAATCATAAGACAAAAGACTAAATTGATTGTACAGGATGTGCGGGTATATAGAGGAGCCACTTGCGGCAGTGACCACCATCTATTAAAAACAAAGCTCACAATTGGAATAGATAGAGCAAGAGATTTAAAAGAAGCTGCAGAGGAAATAGAAAAACTAACAGAAAAGAAATACAACCTAAACAGCTTAGAACAAGAAAGCGTGAGGGATTTATACAGGAGTAGACTAGATAAAAAGTTAGAAACCATGCAATGTACCAGCAATGAAGAGCATTATCATTATATAAAAACATGTCTTCAGGAAGCAGCAACAGAGGCTCTCAGACTCCAAGTAAAAAACCACAGAAAAACTTCGTATTGGTGGGACGAAGAAATAGAACAAGAGATTAAAAATAAAAGAGAGAAGTATAAAAAATTTCTGAACACAAGGACCGACGCTGATAAGGTAGAATACAAGAGGACCCAAGCTAAAGTGCGAAAAATGATATGCCAAAAGAAGAATGAGGCTTGGGAGCAAAAGTGTAACATGATTAACACACATTTAGGAGGACGGAGAAGTACAGAAAGTTGGAAAGTATTAAAATCGCTACGACAGGAAAAGAAAAGAGATATAATATCATCAATCACACCGGATCAATGGGACGAATATTTTAAAAAACTCCTAAATGAGGAGAGAGCGGAATTCTTAAATAACAGTGATACCAGCAACGTAAATATCTTAGCCTCACCATTACGAATAACAACAAAAGAAGTAGAAGAAGTATGTAAGTCTTTAAAAAATAACAAAGCACCAGGACCAGGGAACATACCAGCTGAACTAATAAAATATGGCACAACAAAATTATATGAAAACCTGGCTAAACTCTTTCAAAGATACATCAACGGAGCGGAAATCCCAGAAGAATGGAAGACATCATGGATATCCACCATACATAAAAAAGGCAGACGGGATCAATGTGACAACTACAGAGGCATCGCTGTAACGAACTCGATCAGCCGAATATACGGAAAACTGATTAAAAATAAAATCGAAAACGAATATAAAGATATAGAACCTGAAGAACAGGCAGGATTCCGGGCAGGAAGATCAACGGTAGACCATCTGTTTTGTATTACACAGATTATTGAGAAGAAACTGGCCGTCAACCAGGAGGTGCATCTGTTATATGTGGACTTGAGAAAAGCGTATGATAGCATCCCACAAAACAAACTATGGAAGCATTAGAGAAAACCAATATAAGCGCAAATTTAATAACAGCGACGAAACAATTGTATACCAAAACTGCAGCAAGGGTGAAAGTTGGAAGCGGACTATCGAGAGGATTCCAAATTAGTAAAGGCCTAAAACAAGGGGATTACCGATCAACAACAATACAATATACATTTTGTCATTTGCAGACGACCAACTTGTACTAGCGCAAGACTACGATGATATAGAATATATGACAAGGAAATTAATAGAGGAGTACAAAAAAGGTGGTTTGGAAATAAACATAAACAAGACAGAATATATGTGTATCGGTGGGACATAGCAGGACCTTACACTGGGGAATGGCGAAATTATTAAACATTGAGACGCATATAAATACCTGGGTATGACCATCACACAAGAAGGAAACGTAGACCGGACGATAGAAGAAAGAAACAACCAGGGAAGAAAAGCAATTACCCTTCTCAATAGCATACTGTGGGACCAGGCAATATCAAACAACAACAAACATAAAATATACAATACAATTGTTAAGAGTATAATCACTTACAGCAGTGAAGTATGGCAAATAAAAGAAAGATACAAGAGAAAACTTGAAGCAACAGAAATGGATTTCTGGAGGCGCTCAGCAGGAAAATCAAGATTAGAAAGGGTAACCAACAACAGAATTAGGGAAATAATGAATGTGAAACACACAATAGTAGATGATACAGAAACATAGTACGAAGCTTCGCGCTAGTCTACACTACCGCCTACTATACCACTTTATTTTTGGCATTAGGAGTGGATCCATACTGTACTATAAGGTTACTAATATTAATTATAATAAGAGAGACTACGAGAAATTGCATAAACAGGGTAGATGAAAAAAGAAAAATGCCTTCTTGGTGGTGCGAAGAAATCGTCAATAAGATTAAGGAATGCATTATTGCCATCAGAACATAGGTTACAAGGCCAAGAGGTAGAGAAGTAACCGAAGCTAGCAGAATGGATATAGTATACATTGCGCGAAAGAAGGAACTGAACATGAAGATCCGAGCGGAGAAGAGGCACTGGAGAGAACTGTGTGACAAGTTGGATGGGGACGTTTGGGATCAGAGAAGCTTGAGTTTACCCGAGAGATGTTTCCACCCGGCCGTTTCTGTACAAAGGCATACAGAAAGCAGCTAACCCAAGCAGATAGGAAGAGTCTATTGAAGGTGGGATGTGCATACAGAACAGTCTCTGCCGAGGCGTTGGGAGTTATCACCGAGTGTATTCCGATGCACGTGCTCGTGAAGGAAAAAGAAAGAATATACGAAAGAAGATATGAGGACATAGCAACAGAACGTTTAAAAAAGAAGAAAGGGAGAGGTCCATAATGGTGTGGCTAGAGGAATAGGACGAGACGGGTGGTGCTCCTAATCTGAGTAGATGGATGGACTGCAGACACCGGCGTTTGGATTACTTCGTGACGCAGATGCTCACATGACATGGTTGCTTCAGAGTATACCGTTAGAGATTTGGAAAGGCAGGAAATAAAAAATGCCTGTACTGTGAAATACACACACTCTATTAGTATGCGATAGATGGATAGGTGAGAGGAGCCTGCTTGAGAGAGAGCTAGGATGCGATCAGTCACGGAACTGGTGGAGGATATGCTTAGATTGTTAGGTCAGTGGAGAGCAGTTCAGAGATATGTGAGGAGAACGTTGGAGAGAAATGAACTAGAAAAGGCGACCCGAAGGGAGACAGGGTGTTCAGGAGCTAGCAAGAAGATAGGACAAAATGAGAAGGGGCGACATTGAACATGAACAGGGAGGAACAGAGCAAGAGAAGAATTTAGTCGTAGTGAGAAAGTGCTAGAATTCGTGAGAATTGTGCGTGAATGAGAGATCGGGTGAATGCCGTGTCGATGTTGCGTCCCAATCAGGGCCGGTAATTCACCGCTGAGGAGGGTGTTTTTTTAGCGGGTAGATATCTGGCATTGACGGCGATGGTGTCCAAACAACCCCTGTGCGCAGTCTCGGATATCGTCGTGCTAACGCTAGAGAAATCCTGTATAACTGAGGCTGGAAGGCGGTTCTGTCCACCTTCTAGTACCGAGATATGTTTCGAACATGTTTACCACCCGTCCCTCATAAAAGGTGAAAAAAGACTGAATAGTACTGCTATAAAAGATATTTGTAGTGTTTAGTTAGCAAATAAACTATGTTGGGCATAATTGTCAACTCAGTAATGTTTTCTGTACTAATAATTATAATGATCAATTGACTGATTTAGTCAGGGTGGACAAGTAAATAATTATAACGTATAGAATTCCTGCTAATAAAATTATTTAATTTCAGCATGCCGATAGAACCAAAGTATGGCAACAAAAGTATGACGTCGAACCTAAGTTGTTTTACATTAAATTTTTTTACTTTCTCGTTTATATTATGCTGCTTATTACTGTTAAATAACAATTTTTCTTTCTAGAAAATGTCAAATTCATTGGGATAAAAGAATTCACAAGTCATTAAATTCTATGTGTAATGAGCTAGGAATAAGTCTGGCAAAACCGCGAACAACAAACGACAAAGAAGAGATTTTGAGTAAATGGACGGAATTGAGTAACTACGAAGTAAGTTCTTTATAAGTTTAATGATTATGTACACGATTCTACATTAATTAGTAAGTTGGTTATTAAATCAAGAAATGATAATTTTTCCAATAAGCGAGGCTATAATATAGGGTTGGCCACTGAAAAGGTTTACCTTGATATTTAGCTATTTTCATTAGATTTTGTATAAATGCTGAAACAGGCCGATTTTAATTCCAAATGGATCATCGTTTAATGATGGTAGATATCTGTCATTTGTCAAACTACCCTCTTTCATGTCTCCGGAGGCGTGTCAGGTAGAAGCTGACCGCCGTGCCGGACGCATTTAGAAATTCGGAGAAATACTTGGAAATTCCAAGTGTGGGCAAATCCGAATTTCTAATTGACTCGATGTAGGGAAATTCCACTTTTACTACGTAAAACAAAGGATTTGGTTTATATAAAAGCAGACGGAATTTCTCTCATCGGTCAGTCGAGCTTGCCTCTTCTACTGTAGACCTAGTCGGTGCTATTATTGCTCCAACTAAGTTATTGTTTTATTTCTGATTTCCTATATACCATTTTTATTTTAGCATTATTGTATATTCAGACCTTTTCAGGTTAGAATATTACACATTGTTCATGTACTTATTGTTTGATATTATATTTGATTATTTTGATTGATTATTTTCTTATCTTTGTATCTCAGCTGTTCTTTCCGGTAAGTCAAAGAACTCTTAGAAATATTGCTTTGCTATTTTATTCGACTTATTAATTGGTGTGTGTCTAAGTCGTTCTTTTCCGGTGAGTCAAAAGAAACACTTAGCAATATTTTCACATCTTTTCTGTATTTGATTTTCTTATTTTTTATTATAAGTTGTTTCTTCCGTAAGTCAAGAAACACTTACAAATATTTGTTTTCTTATTTTACTATATTTGATTCTCTTGCTTGTTTTCTGTTCTAAGAAACACTTAGAAATATTTCCATACATTGTTTCATATTTACATATTTCATTTATCTATATTTCTGACTCTTAAGTTGTTTCTTCCGTAAGTCAAGAAACACTTAGGAATATTTCCGCACTTTTCTGTTCTTTTATTCTTGTGTATTTTACTTTTCATTCTAAGTTGTCTCTTCCGTAAGTCAAGAAACAATTAGAAACATTTTCTGTGCATTGTATTTTTATGTACCATTTTATCTCCTTTTTTACTAAGTTATTTCTTTCGTAAGTCAAAGAATACTTAGATTATTTTACCTGTTCTGTTTTCTATTTTGATCTGCTATTTTGTAACTGTTCCTTGGAACTGTTACCTATAACAGATACTTGTCACGGTAACTGTTATTTTATACCAGTAGCAGTATTAACACGTTTTACCAGCGACAAGCAAAGATGGTCAACACCCGATCAAATTCCGGGGACAGGAAGAAGTCCGAAGAGCCGGCGATGGGTCCCACAGGCCCAAATGCCCCCTCTCGGCAACATTCAGTTCCGAAAACCTCTAATTTTAAATTAGGAAATTCATTAATTAAAAAGATTATTAAATTATAAATAGGGAATATAGATACCGCGTATGGCACAACATTAGACGGTTAGGTATTTTTCTGGAGAATTCAGGCATTCTTTCTTTAAAATAAAGAATTTTACAAATGAATCATTGAAGAAAAAACGCAAATATACAGAAATTGGCTGACTACAAACAACGATAAAGTTTATAAAAAATATAGTGAAAAAGATAGAGAAATGAAAAAATCAATGAAGAATGGGAAAGAATCTGCTTAAATATTGAAACATACATGAGAGGTACAAAAACTTCGGAGCCATGGAAAGTACTGAGAATTGAAACAAAACTCAAAAGAAAAAATTAAATAGGGAAATATACAGGACAAAGAATGGAAGGACTATTATAAGGAACTGTTAACAGAATAAAGACCACAATTCATTGGAAAAGAAAACAGAAAATCACACAACAAGAAATAGAAAAAACAGATAGGGAAATGACAACGGCCATAAAAGCTATCAAAAATAAGAAAGCACCGGCACCTGGAGGTATCTGTATCTCACCTGAGCTTATAAAGTACGGCTCAAAAAAATTACACCAGATGATAAAATGGATATTTCAGAAAGCCATAAATGGAGAATAGCTTCCAAAGGAATGGACGAAGGCATATATGACATCTATATTTAAGAAAGGAGATACAAAATGATGCGAGGAATAAACGTAATATCATCAATAGGAAGATTATATGGGAAGATACTGCGAGAAAAGATAGAGCAAGCGATAAAGGGCAAAATCGGGGAGGATCTGGCAGGCTTCACGGCTATGGGAGGCAATGTACAAATTAGAAATACAGACGGAACTCATAGAAGCTACAAAAGCTCTATATAAAGAAAATAAAGTGTCCATTAAAATGGGAACAACAATCATAGGAAACTTCACCACAACAAAAGGGCTCCTACAGGGTTGTTCCTCATCTCCAACCCTATTAAAAATATACTTAGAGAAAGCCTTGACTACATGGAAAAGAAAATGCGAAGACATGGGACTACCGGTAGGAAAGAATACCTATATACATTAAGCTTTGTAGGCGATCAAGTAGTTATTCCACAAGACCAAGAAGACCTCAGTTACATGATGAAGAAACTACAAGAAGAATATACCAAGGCTGGCCTAGATATTACCGTCGCGAAAACAGAGTACCTATCTACAAGTAAAGAATACATCGAAGAACTACAGATTGACGACTTTTTAACAATCAAAGGAAAGGGTAAATTCAGATATATTAGAAAAACACATATATACATATAATACTTGGGGTTTATAATCACGAAAAAGGCAATAACAGAGGAAGAAAATAAGCAAAGATTAGGACAAATAAGAACAGCAATCCGAAAATTTAACTCAGTATGGTGGGATAGACACCTAAATATGAAGACAAAAACACAGATTTATAAAACATTAGTGCGAAGTATTATGACATATGGGGCTGAAAATTTGATTATAAACAAGAAAAACAGCAGTAAGATAATAGCAACAGAGATGGAATGTCTGCGAAAATACTGCAGAGTAACAAGAATGGATAGGAGCAGTAATGACGAACTAAAACAAAGAACATCAATAGAACCTTTTTTTGTTATGTTTTTTTTGTAGGGTGTGTACAGAAAAATTCTGTTATGGTTTAGTTGGTTCTTGCAGTTTAGTTTAGAAGATTGATTTATTTTTTTTTCTCTCTGTGGTTGTTTTCTCTCTGGTGATTAGGTGACACTATTTTTTGATAAAAAGTCCTGAAAGTAAACTTTCATATAATTGTATGGCTGGTATTATATTGTATTTGTTGCATACAAATTCCAGCTTTAAATACTTTCTCAAAAATATCTAGCTTCGACTTTGTTATCTTTGTTTTCATTTTACTTCTATCATCATGGCTATTTTGACCTTGGAGACAGCTGCTCTGAACAATTGTCTTGAGCTGCAACCAAACCACTCTCTCAGGTTCTTCAACCAGGAAACGCGTTTTCTTCCTACGCTTCTCCTACCCTCTTTACTTCTCTAGAATTATTATATCCATTGCAACACTGTTATTTTATTTTAGGTTAATATACAAAAGTATAGGCCTGTATATGCTCCAAAAGATTTTCTAGAAGTTTTGTTAAATTTAAAAGGACCTATTGATGAGAAAAGTTCAGAGTAAGTTATTAATAAAATATATAATATTAAAACTAAATTAAAATAAATGCAACAAGTATTGCTATCTTATGTTGTTATTGTCATTTAGAAATGCAACTTATATTTAACACATCCTTTATTATTGGACAGTTTATCGACAATCAATTTCTATCCAGAATCAGTTAAAGAAGCTTTAGGTACTTTAAAGACTAGGTATTCTGTCTTTGAAAGAAAAAAAATCAACATTAGTGTATTTACCTGTCTTTAATGTCTAAATTTTAAATGAATACAATTGCAACGTGGTGGAAATCTGGTATAGTAAAAAGAATATTTAAAATAAAATGCTATCAACTAAATATCGACCAGTAATAATTCCACCAACATCATGTAAAAATAATGGAAAAATTAATTGCTAATGACTTCGTATCGTTTAGGGTAGGGCATAATATGATTCCAGTCTCTCAGCATGGACTTCTACTTAATTGATTTGTCTGTTTTTCAATGTGCCTCCAGAAGTTGTAGTTTTATCGTTTTCGTGGTCTTCCTACTGGTAGTCTTCCTATTGGGGAACCGTCTCTTGCCGTCTTTACTACTCTATTTATTCTCCTTCTATTTCTTACCAGTTCTTGATATTCTCCACCTTGCATCTACGTCGTATATCTGTACTTCTAGCTTTGTCGTCCCATAGTGTCTTACCATCAATTTTTATAAGTGTTTTCATCTCTGGTGTTTCTAACATCCTTTTTGTTCTCTCTGTGTCAGGTCTTGTATCTGCCACGTATGTCATTATTGATCTGATGACTGTTTTGTAAACTCTGCCTTTGGTTTCTTTCCCAATATTTTTATTCCTCCATATTGTTTTATTCAGGCAGCCTGCGGCTCTGTTTGCTCTATTCACTTGATCTTCCACTTCAGTTTCAAGATTTATGTAGCTAGATAATGTGATGCCTAGCTAGATCTTTAAACTCCATCACTTGCTCTATTATCTGACTTTCCTGCTCCAATTTACATCTTAATAAATTTGCTGTTGTAACCATGCATTTTGCCTTTTTGAGGAAATTAACATGTTAAATTGTCTTGCGATTATATTAAATTGGTGCAGCATACGTTGTAAATTATCTTCACTTTGAGAGAGTAGTATTGCGTCGTCTGCATAGCAGAATATTTTAAGTTGTTTTTCTCCCATTTCGTATCCTTTTTTAGTTCTTATACTTTCATTAATTCATCCATAATCAGGTTGAACAATTGACGACTCAGGTAATACCCCCGTCTGATCCCATTGCTAACTTCAGTCAGTTAGTTCTTTTTCTACTTTTACTTTTATTGTATTGTTTTGGTAGATATTTTCGATCGTTTTGATTATTCCTAGATGTATCTCTCTTCCATATAGTAAGTGGATAGCGTCTTTTAATTTGACCCGATGAAATGCCTTCTTAAGGTCCACGAAACATAGATATGCCGGTTTGTTGTATTTTAATGATTTTTCTTGCACTTGCCCATCGAGCAAAAAGACAGCACTTACCTCATTATAAATATAGCCCCGGTGCATGATCTTTTCGACCTAAAACCTTCTTGTTTTTCTGCTAATGCTATGATTTCATTCAGTTTATTTGTTATCACTTTGGTTGTTAATTTTAGTGTTGTATTTAATAAATTAATTCCTCTGTAATTTTCTGGTCGGATTTGTCTCCCTTTTTGACGAGAGGTATTAGGATGCTTGATCTCCATTATTGAGGAATTCTGTGTTGTTCTATTATTTTTTGGATTTGTTTTAATAGTTGTTTGGTCAGATCTGGTCCTCCGTAATTTAGCAACCTTCTTGTGGCACTTAATAAATAAATAAACTTTGGACTAGTATTAACATCTCGACATCATTTATATTGACGTACATTTGAAAACGTATTTATAAGAAAATTATTGCTAAGGATAGAACATTACGGCTGTCGTGAAAAATGTTATTCTTGTGATTAGAAAACTTTCTTTCATAGAGAACTTTTTCCGTCCAAGTAGAATACGACTGCACTGTTTCACATATGTGAAAATGAGGGGAAGTGGTGTCCCTCAGGGGATAATATTATGTCCCATTTTGTTCTTGCTATATGTATCAGACTTAATTTGTGGATGTCAGTAAAAATCAGTTTCCAATGCCGATGATTTGAAATTGTAGCTGTAGAAATTAAAAGTATATCAAAAGTATACTACTTTACGAAGCGGAAGCATGAAAACATTATTAAGTAGATGAGGTAATGGAAAAAAGAACTCAACAGGCAATTGTTTTTAAAATAATGTGTTTGTAAATGACTAATATTGAGCTATTAACTTTGAAAAATTTTTCTCTCTCTATCAAAATTTTTTTAAAAGATGAATAACTCAAAAAATATAAAGTTTTGACCTTGATATCTAAAAAAAATTGTGTCTAGAATTTTACACAGATTTTAAACATGCAATAATTTACAGGGTTACATTTAAAATAACAAAGTTGCTGTTCACTTCCGGTATAACTGGAAGTAGCATGTCTGTCAAATTTTATTTTTAAGCTCGTCATAACTTGTAACCCCATAAACCAATTTTCATAAATATCGTGTAAGTTGTCTCCGATATAGAGATAATGTAAGCTTGTCGTGAAACACGTTGTATTTATCAAAAAATTTTGTAGAGCACTATATAACATAAAGGGTGATTTACACATATTCCATGAGTAATAAAATGGTGGCAATAAGTATTTTGATAAATATTCATTAAGTTTGTTCCCATAATAACATCTAATTACTTATAAAGAAAATATTAATTTTTTTAGGGGAAGTACCGGTTGGCAGTTCAGTCAAATACCCCTCAAAGTAAAAAATTTGGGTGATTTGGTAAGTAAAAGTTAAGTTTCACACATGCTTTAATAACACTAGAGGAGTAGGTATGTAGTGGGACATCTTACGTCATCATTTTATTTGAAAACTTTTAACTTCGGAAACCTTTTTTGGATGGTGCTAGAAAGGTCACCAATGGAGACACTGCGGACGGCAGCCAGATGGTTGGTGGAGAGCGAGTCGTGGTTTTGAAACTAGCTTTTGGAACCGAGAATGGGTCCAACGTATGAAATAAGTAAAGACAGGATAAGAGATATTAGAAGAGATACAGAAATAAACAAAAAGATAGATGGGTAAAATTACCAAAGATACGATAAGATAGAAACAGGGCGCCACTCAATTTTTTGGGGTGAAGGAGAAAATTAAGAAACCTTAGAAAAGAAAAGAGATAAGAAAAAATATATTTAAGTTCAGACATCAAACTCAAGCAAAGATACCAACAGTTAATTATCAAATAAATTTGGTCAACACATTATGTAAACAAATAATAAATATATTACTTACCTACGAAACTTAATCAGCCTGATCTTTCTACTGGTCAAAGGTATAGTAATATTTAAAGGTAAAAAACAAATATTTAGAGTTACTATTTTATCAGAGAACTTTGTTAGGAGCCAACAAATAAAATACATACATAAAACAATAACAATATATTCAACAACAAAATTATGACGCTGCTGAATGCAACACAAGTAATAAAAGTACACCAACAACTATAAAATGGTGGTATACATATAAAAATAAGCAGTAATATAATTGGAAAATACCTTAACAAAAATATATAAGACAATCATGTACAAATAAAGTTTTGTGGGCGTACCTCGAGGTATTACAAAAAAAAGTGAATAAAAATTATAACAAACACAAAGATAAAAATTAATTAAATCTAAATTTACAAAAATACAAAAAGGTTACAGAAATTAAAACATTAACCAAACCGCACTTGGTTAAGTGGATTAACTATCTCGCACTATTAATTAATGAGAAACTGAGACTTAAATGTTCATAATTATTACTTATTGAAATTTCTTGAATTTATTGAAATGTTCTTTAAATTGAATAAGTTTAGTTTTCAATAATATTTTGAAAATGATAAACCGAACATTAGCGTATCATCACGGGAGTAAAAGGAATTAAAAATAATTAATATTTTAAGTATATAAAAAAAATGTTACAAACTGTGAACAGTTGCAGTATAACAAATTGTTAAATGTAACATTGTGTGTTATGTTCTAGAATTTTTGGTGTTTAAAACCGAAAATGCCCCTATTTAACTCCCCAATACGCCCGGGCAAGCCGAAGAATAATCAAGAAACTTAATTTTGGATACGACTTATCAATATATCCAATATATCAACCGGTTCTTAACTTGTTTCTGGTTTTTGATCAAAAATTAATTTTTTAAATATGGCATTTTTAGTAAGCCTTCTCTACCACCTAGGAAGAATACGGTTAACCTAGTTATGGTCCATTAACCCGGCGTCACATACGTAAATTTTTCTGTCATTAGTACATATTTGGGGTGTGACAAACCCCAATTTCTAAGAAAATCAGAATTTTTTCTGGCAGTTTTTTTATATGTTTTCTAATTTCATGGTCTAAAGTGATCATCTAAGGACTATATAAGCAAAAAAGAAATAATCAGAACACCTTCTTTTAAAAGAAATTAAAAATAAACTAATAATAGGTAATTCTCCATAAGCAAAAACCACAACTTAACTAAACAATCTTACCAAAAAATCTAAACAGCATATGATCAAAAATACAATAGTAAATGAAAATCTAATAGTAAGATAATACAAGGTAAAACTTTGGTTGTACAGTGAAAGAAAAAAAAAATTAATCGCTATTTGAATTCATGCAATTTTGACAACTTATGACAGCATGCTCCAGGCACAGTAATAATTCACAGTTTGAACAGAAATATTTAGTTTTCCGATCTCGGCTTTTTGGACATACTAAACATCTTCCCATGAGTTTTGGAATCCTGGCAGGTGGCACTGCAGGGGCATCTTGGCCAAAATGTGCAATGTTTTGACGAATACTCCTTGGTATTCTTGGATTATTTTTTCTTTCAGATATGTGGTCCTGGATCAATTCAAAGCCCAACATTTTGATAAACAATCTTCTGGCAAGTTTGAAATCTTGATTGTTTTCTCTGTATATCACTAAAGCATTTATGGCGGATGTATTCAAGAGAGCAAACACGATCGTAAGAGGCCATCTCCGTGAGTTTCTAGATAAGTTATATTATGCAGACAGTTCATCCACTACATCTACTCCACTTTTAGTAAAGTTGTAGAAGCTTATTGTTTCTGGTAAATTTTTATCGCCAGTTGCTTCATCAATAGCTCTATCATGGTGCATGGTGGACAACAGTAGGACGTTTTTATTTTTTTTCGGCACATACGATAAAAGTGTAATATCTTTCTGAAAGCCAAATAAAGATGTCATTTGTTCTCTGTTCTGGACTGTCAAAAATTGTGCTGGGATGCATCGTTTGTTCTTTCTCAGCGTGCCTACTGACGTAAGTTTATGCTCGTTTAGCAATTTTATCATTAATTCATAACTAGTGTACCAATTGTCAAATGTCAAATTTCGGTTGGAAACAGAAATAGGTTATGTTAGCCTCTCTACTATATCTATTGGGGAATTACTAACACTGTAGGGACCTTCTGGCTGTTTTCCTGCATACACTTCCAAATTTAAAACGTAGTACGAACGGGCATCAACTAGGGCTTTCACTTTGATCCCATACTTTGCAGTCTTGTTCGGCATGTACTGTTTGAAAGCACATCTTCCACGAAAAGACTGCAACTTCTCATCTATCGTCACATATTGAGAAGGAGTGTAGGCCTGCTTACAATTATCAATAAATTTGTCCAGAATTTTACGAACTGGAGCTAATTTGTCAATCTCCAATCTGTCTTTATGATTCTTGATGTTATCGAACCGAAAACAGACCATCAGGAATTTAAAACGATTTATAGACATCGTATTGCGGAATATATCGACACCAGTCCCATCTGTTTGCCATAAGTCTCTCAAACTCTGACGATTAGAATGAAACATACCTGCTATTTAAAGAAGTCCGATAAATGTTTTAATTTCACATTTATTGGTTGGTTTCACCATGCATTTATTTTGATATGCAATTGTTTTTTGTTGAATTTTGAGATTGTTCCAGCGCACTAAGTCTTGGATCATTTGTCGGTCAAAAAACAATTTCCAACAATCTAAAGCACTTTTAGCATTTTTGCATAATGCTTCACACCCGGCAAATGAGTAATAATGTTCTCTGATCTTGTTCGAACCCGTTTATAATTTGAAGCAAGTTTGTTCCATTGTGTTCCGTCTTTTCCGAGATACATTTCTTCGTTTCTTGGAGGTCCGTCCGTGCTTTTGTTTTCCGTCTTATTCTGAAGTTCTGTTTTTGATGTCTCCATGTCTGAATCTCCGTCAGAAACTACATCTTCTATTGCGATATCCTGCTCCGTGTCGGTGTTGTGCTCGCTTTCAGAGATATGGTCACTATCGTCATCGCTTCCCGATTCGAACGGCATCGTCATAAATTTCAGCCCATAAAGCTTCAAGCTTTTTCAGTTCCGCTTCGTATGACATGATATTTTAGATAAAAAATTAAACAATTCAATATGCAGATTCAAATAAGTCAAAAATAAAAACTTACTTATAATGTCAAAATTGCAAACGCGAGTACATCGGTGGGGTTTGACACACCCCAGAGCGTTTCAGGCGCGCGTAACTTCACTCACTGCCTACAATGTACTGAGGTGACGCCTGAATCCGATGGTGGAGACATTTTTGGGAAGCTATTGTAGCTTGAAACCCCACATATGTAGTGCCGGGTTACGAAACAATGGTCTATTAAATAGTAATAGATTTAAAATGCCACTAAAAAATAGCTGCAGAACAATGGCCTATAGTGTGATACAAGGAGTAAAAATAATATCATTTGACATTATAGCCTATTTCTTTCTAAGAAATTCCAAAAATCAAGATCTTTTCACATTTTTTCTCATAAAAAGTCATCTACCCATATAATATTACATAAAAAAACTGCCCAATCCGGGTCTTACATTATTTATTTATTATTACAGTAATACCTCGACTTACGCTACCTCGATTTACGCGAAGTAGGAGTTACGCGATTTTCAATTCTCATCGATTCATTTATTATTATACAAGACGACCATTTGCAAACCTGCATGAAGTTATAAGAAAATACAACGAGTTTCCTGTTAAAGACTTGGAAACAATTCAACGTTTTAGATGAAGTGAAAATAATTGGACAATCTTGGAATAAAATTTCACAAAAAACGTAAAATGGCGTCTGGAAAACAATGTGTCCTTATTTCTTCATCACTGACCCTAAAGTGGAATTAACGCCAGAGTCTGATGAAATATTAATGCGGTTAAAGAAGTTGTTGATATCGCTATGCAAATAAATTTAGAAGTGGATAGTGATGAGCTTCAAGAACTGTTATATGATATGCTGGAATGTTGGAACTGGATTCCATGTTGATAATTGATAAACTCATAGAAATGTACGAACAAGAGCAAGATATTGCAGATCTGATTGATTAGACCCCATTCAAACAGAGAATCAAATGACGGTTGGAAACCTGACTGAACGACTCAGTTTAATTGAAAAGGATTACAAATTTTAGAAAATGTAGACTACAGCAAAGCAAATATTTCTTCTACAAAATATGGGGAAAAAGTGTTAGCTTGTTATGAGAAAATTTTGCGGGAAAAAAATATTTGGGTCGTTAAATTACTTTGTTAGAGTTTATGAATCCTTTTATGTCGAAATAACTTCTATTGGCGATTTAATGTTTGTATACCCTAAGATTTTTGTGTAAATCGCTATTTGTTTACCTTTCGGTCCCAATTAAAAATTATTTATATACATACATATACGAAATTATACCCCGACTTACCCGAATTCGACTTCCACGGTTATTATTTGATCCCACCTATCGCGTAAGTTCGGGAGTTCGGGGTATTACTGTATACATAAAAAAACTCTGGTAAAAGTGCATCAACTGTGTGGGAAAATCACAGCCACTTACAAACAGAGCTAGCAAGTGCCATAATTCGTACGAGTGCTCTCACCTCTCACCACTTAAGTTACTACTGTACACACTATGCTCTTTACAAAATTTTTTGTAAAAAGATACTTGTATGTTTGTTCTATTGTCTGCACTACTATTCTGGAAATTAAAAGAAGAACTCCGATAGGAGAGTTAGGTACTAGGATTACTTTTCGGAACTAGGGGTTATTTAAGGTGATTCACAGTCCGAAAGGGTAGACCACGGAAAGTGTAGGCAGAACGAAAAATATTTGGCTATTTAACTGAGGTAACGAGCTTAACTCCTACCCTAAAGTTGTAAGTTATACATTTTAATAAACTTAAGAATTATTTTATATACTTTATACGTATTTAATGATAGTAAATGAAGTAGATATTAAAAGGGGGTATAAGTTTTTTAATAATAAACTATTAATATAAGTTCCTGTTCTTGTAGTTTAAATTTACTACAAACATAAAAAATGTGATCTAAGTCGCAAACCATATTATAAGTTTCGCAAAGTTCGGTGTTGGCTACACCGATTTTATATAAGTGTTGAGGGAAGCTTGTATGTCCGAATTTCAGCCTACAAATGGTCACAATATCATTTCTTGTAAAATCATAATCTTGGTGCCACAAAACTGTCGAAATACTTAGATGTAACATTGTGTATCGTGTGAGGTTATTAGAGCAATAGTTTTTCCAATGCAGATTTTATTAGTTGTTCTTCAAAAAATAAAAGTAACAGAGTGTATTGTTTTAGAGAAGTTTTTATTCGGAGCTTTCACGAGGGGAACAAATATTAACAGCTACTAATTCACTAGTAATGACACATAGTTTTGCACAATTCGAAGAAGAAAGAATAAACTTAGGAGAAAAAGTGTTACTTAAAAATTATGCCCCCATAGCGCAAGAGTTCTTAAAAAAGGGATGTCCGAGATGCTTACGGGCCAGAATATGGAGTTTACTGTTAGGATCCGAGGTTAAGGAATATGTAAGAATTATTTTCATACAATAGAAATGACGTTTAATAATATTCGTGACACATAATTATAAGTAATATTTTCTTTTTTAGGAATACGCGTATTTTCAATCCCTAAAAGAGCACGTACTACAATATGATTTGATGATCGATAAACTCATCATTAAGGATATCACTTTGACAGCCTCTAACGATGATCAATATTTTGTATTTGAAGATGTACTCTATCAGGTTTGTTTATTGTGCATATGGTTAAGTTTTTTTGAAATTATTTAATAATTTTATTAAATTAACACCGTACACTTCGATTACAACATATCTTAATGTACATCATGAATTTTATGACGTCAATAATCGATGGTATACTCGGTTCACTGATCAGTGTCCCAACTGTTGCATGTAATATAATTTTATAAATAAAAAAAATTGGGTGATAATTACCCCAACACAAAGCTACTGTCAGAAAATATTGTAAAATGATTTATATATAGTACAGGTTGCTTACAACTGTCGTTGTTTTCCTGTCCCTAGTTTCTATCGTTTCCTATCTCGGGTGTCGGCTTCATTTAGCTGTCTTCCTTCTATGGCTTCATTCACGTCATCTCGCCAGCTTCTTCTTGGACGCCCTCTTTTCCTTCTTTCGGTTGGGATCCATTTTAATATTTTCTTTGGCCACCTCTCGTCTGCAATTCTATTTACATGACCGAACCAAGTTAGTTGTTTTTTCTGGACTTCATCTATAATGTCTTTTTCTTGCTCCATTCTACGTTTTATTTCTTCATTGCGGATTCTGTCTATCCTTGTCAATCTACAGCTTCTTCTCATAAAATCCATCTCGGTAGCTTGTAATTTTTTCCTGTTTCTTTTACTAGTGTCCCATATCTCTGCTCCGTATGTTACCACCGGCTCAACCATCGTCTTGGAGTTTAGGCATTTGGTAATGTTTCTGCCTTTGTTTATTCTTGTATTTATTTCTTCATGGCTATTTCCGTCTTTATAAACACTACTCCTAGGTATTTTACTCTATTTGTTCCTTTGATTTTGTCACTCTATAATGTCAGGTCTTTGACTGTATTTTTCCCCACTGAGAGATATTCGCATTTTTGTAAGTTCATTGTCAGTCCACATTCTTCGTACGCTGTTTGTAGTTTCCTAACCATATAGCTGAGATCGTCTATATCTTCTACTACCACCAGTTGGTCATCAGCGAAGAATAGTGTATAGAGAATATCCTCGTCTATTTGTATTCCCATATTTCCGCATTGTCTTTGCCACTTTTGTAGAGATCGATCCAGATATATTTTAAACAGCGTAGGTGATAAACAACATCCCTGTCGTAGCCCTTTCGTAGTGTTGAATTTCTCACTAAGTTTGCCACCTATTTTAATTGATGCGGTGTTGTTTACATACCACTTTTGAGTTGCTATTATTAACGAAGGTTTTATTTCCATGTTTTGCATTTCACTCCATAAATTATTTATCGGCACATTATCATATGCCTTTTCAAGATCTATCAGGGCTATATGTGTTTCTTTGTTTCTTTGTTGTCGCTTTTCGATTAATATTTTAAGTGTAAATAGATTATCTATAGTCGATCTTCCAGCTCTGAATCCGCATTGTTCTTCTGGTTGTTTCATACGAATGTCTTCTTCTATGAGGTTTCTAAGTATTCGGGAGTACAGTCGTCCTATAGTGGGGATGACAGCAATTCCTCTATAGTTTCTGGCATTGTTTCGTGCTCCTTTTTTGTATATTGGGGTTATATAGGCCTCACGCCATTCTAACGGGGTCTCTTCTCCATTTAGGCATCGTTGGAACAGATCTTTGAGCATTCCCCACAGTTTAGCTGAGCCGTATTTAATAAATTCTGGTGAAATGTTTCTGATTCTGGTTTGATGTAAAATGATTTAATATTGTAAAATGATTATTAGATACTTATAAAAACCGGAATGTAGATGTAACTTGTAACGCTTGCCACGTTTTATGTATTTTGCATTTCAACCAACCTTGATTTGTTAGCTGCAGCATTCTTAAATATAGCAAGAAACCTCCATATTTTAGAATTTCAACGTTTATTTGGACTGCTACTGTCGCTTTTCTATTCTTTTTTATTGTAATAGTCCCCACGAGACGTCGAGTTCTCCTTGATGAGCTGTAAATGGTGCATTTCTCATCTAGTGCATCAACGCATCCTTTTGTTAAATTATACAATGATATTATTTTAGGTTTATTACTCTCAACATCCATAGCACGACAGTGATGCATAGAAGAAATGAGGATTACAGTCTTGTTTCTCTTATAAATATATGAAACTAGAATTTTATATTGAAAATCCATATAATGCAGAACCAACTTGTTTTTGTTATATATATATATATATATATATATATATATATATATATATATATATATATATATATATATATATTAGTAAATATAAAATCGTATACAACACATTCATAGCCAAACTGATATACATTTAGACTTTTGGCCTGGTTTTCAGCAGTTCTGCCTTTGTAACATTCAAAAATTTTGTCGCAGTTCCCGATAATACCTCTGTTTCATTTTCGTTTGGCCACCCTGTATGTTCAATATTTATATTTTGTTTGTAATTGGGTAAGTTTTTAAAAACGTATTACCTTATTTTTAGCTGCTCTATTTTGTTACATTTACGACGATCCTGTCCATCCTCTGTTTGCCTTAAATTCTGTAGGTATTCCCTTTATGATTTTCTCATGGTTCCGACATAGGTAAGGCCTCTGGACTATAACTCTTTCACTAGCTAAAGTGAAGAAAACCAATTATCTGCAGTAATGTTCATATTGCTGTCAAATAGAGGTTTTGATAGACGAATTACCGATTGTATGAGTTTAGTTAATTTTCATCTCATCATTATCTCATCGTTTTTCCCAATGATAAATACATCTTGACAATTTTCAAAAAACATTTCAACAATGTCATACATATGAGCCACTGGTGTTTCCATCAGTCTTTCTTTCCTAGATGTGGCATCATCAAACCTCAAGCAATTTATCAAAACAACAAATCGTTTTGCTCTCATAACAGTCCTAATAATCTTTCGTTCGGTTCCATCTGCAGTAAACATGGCGTCAATATCTTTATCTTTAGATGTATAGATCGCGGTATATATTAGTAGGCCCATCAAAACTCGTATTTCAGTACTATCCGTAACTTTCAAATCTGTTCGTGTCTCTACAGCAATCCTTGTTCGAATTTCTACAATCTTTATATTTGTATACTGCACTATAGTATTTATCATACCTTCAGAGATGAGAAGGTTCCATATATCTTCTGGAGAGATTATATCTTCTCATTCGCTTGGTCTAATTCTTCATCAATATTTTCATCATTTAAAAAGATTGTTCATTATCATCACTTTCACTTGAAGGTCTATATTTATATCCTTCTTCAGTATGATATCCATCTTCTATATCAGACAAGTCAGATTGTTCCACATTTTACCATCTTAACAGTAGTTTAAAAATTTTAAATTATTGTCTAATGATTGAAATGAGGTTGAATGCTCGAATAAATGAACTTTGAAAATAAGGCTATTATCGAGCACAAGTTAATTAAATCTAGCTCAAGTACTTTCGCTTAAAATAGCATCTTCAGGGGCATTTCGTCAAAATGTAAACTAGTCGAAAGAAAATGTAAAAAAGTATTTTTGAAGTGTGTATATTTTTGGCAATTCCTAGCTGAGCGCTTTCGGCTTTACAAAGCCATCATCAGAGCTATGCTACAATAAAATGTTCTTATAAGTACTAATTGGTAAAGATTATAATTTTAACTTACGTCAATTTTTTAAATACCACTACAAAGGAGAGATCTCATTTCCTGGCATGTTATGCAAGTTACAAATTTAATTGTCTAAATGTTTTCTAGGATTTTTCTTTTCTAATTTTTCAAGCCCTTGCCTTAAATTTTAAATTTCATTTTTAGGTAATGCTATGTTTTTCAAGAGATTCAGAAATTTTAAAGAACCTTCCTACACAACCCGCCTTTATGCAGGTAGTCATAAAGGGAAAAACAGGCACACCGGAAAGCACTAATACTACTATAGTTTTTCCTCCAAGTGGAGTTATTCCTTTTCATGGATTTTCCATGTATGGTGAGTAAACAAAGTTTAAATTCACTTTTTGCATAGTGGAACACATTTTTCCCTTATTATCTTCGTAAATGAAGTAAAACTATAGCTTATAGTTATTTAGCTCTAATTCGTTTGACGAGAGCCGAACGACGGATCAGAAAACATAAGATATTGGCATCTATTTCTGATTACTGGTATAGATACTTAAGTATTTAAGAGTATGCAATTTTATTGTGTTAAACAAATTTGAGAAAAGCAAGTTTACTTAAAATGTTTACTCTATTTGTAGCTAGTATACGTTTTTATGAAAGAAACTGGTGGTAAGACGAACACGAAAAGAGGCATTATCAGGAACTGTGACAACGTTTTTGGAATATACAGGAACACTTCAATTTTTGGTTCAAGGGGGACATACCATTTTTTAAGACCAATGGGGGTCAAGTAAGATATAATTCCCTATATATTAGTCACAAATTTTTAAATTCGGTCGAATAATTTATTTGATTTAAAAAAAATAGCATTTTAAGATTAATATTTTTAGCTGATCTTCAGCTAAATCTGCTTCAGCTGATCTTCAGCTTTAGCTGATTTTCAGCTGAGGGCACTGAAACATAGAGAATTAGTGAAAAGATCCAAAAGCGAATAGAAACAGTAGAGATGGATGCAATGAGAAGATCTTTAGGTATTTCCAGACGAGACCAAATCAGAAATGATGTAATAAAACAACGCAACGTATGGGAAGAGAAGGAAATATAACTCAAGATATAGAGTATTAACAATTAAGGTGGTATGGGCATGTTCAACGGATGCCAGCAACAAGACTCCCAAAAAAAGTATTAGAATGGCAACCGATAGGTCGACGGAAAAGAGGAAGACCCAGATTAGAATGGCAACACGGCGTAAACAGGTCCATGAGCGAAAGAAATTTAACAACAAACGACTGCGAAAATAGGAAGAAATGGGGTTTAGGTATCTGACAACGTTGAAAGACGTTCTAAACCGATGTATATATATTTTTAGCTGATTCTCTCACATTCCGAAGCAATTGTGGAGTGATTCGTCTGCATTTGTTGACGTAAATCTAAAGATGCTGGTGGTGTTAAATAGATTTTACTTTTTAGGTGTTTCCATAAAAGGAAATCCAGGAAAGACAAATCTGGTGACCTAGGAGGCCAGTAGTTTCCGCCTCTTCTCCTAATCTAATGCCGTGGAAAATGCTGGTCTAAGTAAAGCATAATGCGGACGGGCACCGTCTTGTTGAAAAGTCGAATGCTGTTTATGATATTGTTGATCATTTTTAATAATATCAGTCAAAGTAGGATTAATGTTAAAAAATGGTCCCACCAATCGATCACCGAAAATACCAGTCTATACATTTAATTTTGGGGCTGCTGCGTATGCACTTCGTGGAAAGCGCTGGGCTTTGAAGTTTTGTTTACAAATAAAGTGCATTCATCGGAAAATCAGATATTAAAGAGAAACTGTGGTATGGTTACTGCTCTCTCACTCTTTATTTCACAAAAGTGTAAACGATGGTCATAGTTATCCACATTAAGTATCTGCACCAAATGTATCTTTAATGGATGGAATTTGTTTAAATTCAAAATGGCTTGGACGGTCTTGTTAAGGTTAGTTCGAGATACAGCTGCTAATTGCCTTGTATTTAACATAGGACATAGGTGAACAGGCCCTAACATTGCAACTTAACTAGCGCTATTAACGGCAGGCCCTTTAGTTAATACAGTACCGCTCTTTATTACCTATATTCCCAGTTTACTGATGTTTTTAACAACTCCAAAACATAATTCCTACTTTTTCTTCTTCTTCTTCTTCGGCTTTTCCCATTATGAGTTCGCGTTTTCGTCCTCCATAGCACTCTATTCTCCCAGTCGTATTTCCGACGTATGTTTTCCTTCTTGTAGCCGGTCTTCTTCTCCGTCTTCTTCCCGGCGGGTCCCAGTTTAATATTCTTTTCGGCCACCTATACTCTGGCATTCTTTGTACATGCCCGTACCACTGCAGGGCTCTCTTTTTTTGTAATTGAGCATTCTACTTCCATTCTGTTCCATATTTCCTCCGCTCTTATTCTATCCGCTCTTGTGATTTGTAGACACCTTCTCATAAAGTCCAGTTCAACTGTTCTTATATCGTATTGTTGTTGTCATTAGCCATACTTCCGCTCCATATAGGGAAATATTCATCACTATGCTTTGAAAGATCCTCTTTTTGTTTTCTTTGGTTAGAGTGTTGTTTCATATCACTCCATGAAGTGCTCTTGTGGCTTGTTTTCCCCGTGCTATTTTCATTTCTTTATCTTTCATACAAGTACCATCTCGGCTAATCATTGACCCTAAATACTTAAAAGTCTTCTTAATAATCCCTTCTTCTAATCTTCTAAAGTTCAAATCTACAACCTCGGGTCCAAAACATAAGTATTCGGTCTTGCACAAATTTATCTTGGCTCCCTAAAGTTCATATTCTTCCTTTAATTTCCTTATCATATATTCCATATCCTCCCTGTCTTGTGCAAAAATGACTTGATCATCTGCGAAAAGTAGTGAATGTAATATATTCTCTTGTACTGGTATGCCCATTGTTCCGCATTTTCTATACTATCTTTTCAAAGCCTGATCTATATATATATATATATATATATATATATATATATATATATATATATATATATATATATATATTTATATGTTAAAAAGTGTAGGTGAGAGACTACATCCCTGTTTGAGGCCTTTTGTTGCGGTGATTGTTTTTGCTATTCCATTACCTAACTTTATTTGCACTTGTGTTTCTTTATACAGTCTTTGTATTATATTTACCCATTTCTCTCTAACGCGCATTCTTCTCATTGCTTCCCATAGTTGTTTCCTGGGCACGCTATCGTATGCTTTCTGTAAGTCGATAAAGGTCATATGTGTTTCAATGTTTTTTCTTTGTTCTTTTCAATCACCTGTCTCATAATGAATATATTATCTAAACATGATCTGGCTTTTCGGAATCCGGCTTGTTCTTCACTATAATGGTCCATGTGTTGTTCTAGTTTTTCTGTTATAACTGATGAAAAGATTCTTGAAAAGATTCTAATTCCTACTGACATGTATATTCTACAATCCTCTAATTTCACTATATTTATGTGTTCGTATCATAATATTTGCAAAATTTAACAAAAAAAAACAATAAAAAGAATGAAATTAAAATCTAAACCATTGGCCTACTTAATCAACTTATTAAACTGGTATATATTACAATCTAAAAAGTTAAATGTATATTTTTTTAAATAAATAAAATTAAGTAAGACTAATGTATTGGGAATTGCAAGTGATTTAAAAAAATATCTTGTTTGACCCCATTGCTAATAAAAAAATTAGAGTGTTTCTTACTGCAGAGTACTTTCTAGTACCGATTAATGTTCAATTAATTCAAATTTAGTAAAATTTGATTCGACATATTGGATTCGCAATTTTGAATTTTTCAATTTTGACATTAAATTCGTAATCAGCCACCTTAAAAACTTTACACGCTCCGTGCGTGACTGATACGACACCTACCGCCTTCATCTGACAATTTTGGAGTCGCAATTTTCAGGTTAATTATATGACATATGTTTGACATTGTTAAATACATGCGAAATTGACAATTATTAATAAATTAGTTTTTTAACTATATTGTTTCATTTTATGTACAAAATAAATGTAGTATTAAAAATTGAGCTTCTCAGAATTCATCATAATACATCTTTTCAACTCCAAACGGAAAAGAAAGCGAAAAATCTAGTACTGGCAAATCAAATTTTTCACGCAAAAGAGCATATAATTAAAAACCATAATAGTAAAAGTTATGATATAAAAGCTAAAATCATCTGCAGTTAGCTTGAAGCCTTATGAAATATCATTCAAGGTAAATTAATTAAATTGTTCCTATTTCAATTGCATAAAAAGGAAATTATGTGATATTTACTTTTTCATATTAATAGCACGAATTCATCTTTTTTTTTCTCTAATTTATATGTAATCTTTGGGAACCTATAAAAACTACACTCACTGTTTTTGCTATTATTAGCACAATTAAATACGCAACATGTATTTGCACACATTTTTGATAAAACTTATGCGTAAAAATATTTTATCCAATATTCCAATTTTGTCATATTTCGCCGCTACGCACGCTGGCATCGTTTCAATGTACCCCTACCATGGTCACGCACGGAGCGAAACCTATTTATTTCCAAATAATCAAAAATATATTAAATTTGGTCGGCCATATTGGATCAGCCGAGGGAGATGAACGGGACCCACTAAAACATGAAGAGTGGATTCCTACAAAAAGTGAACAGCAAAAAAACGTTATATTTTGATTTTTTTTAATTTTGACCTCAAATTCGTAATTAGCAAGGTTAAAAGTCATATAGTACACCTTCATAGCCAAATTGATATACATTTAGACTTTTAGCCAGGTTTTCAGCAATTCGTCCCACTGTGCCATGGTTTAATCGTCGAAGGAAAATAATCGAAAATACCAAAAAAAGGTGTACCCCTTTAAACAGAAATGAACGTGCTGCAATCAAAAATGTTGTCGCAGTTCCCGATAATACCTCTGTTTCATTTTCGTTTGGCCACCCTGTATGTTCAATATTTATTATTGTTATATTATTTTTAAGTAGGTGAGTTTTTAAATACGTATTATGTACCTTATTTTTAGCTGCCCCATTTTGTTACATTTACGACGATCCCGTCCATTTGTACTTCTCGTTTAGAGCATTCTACCTGAGATATTGGCATAGGTTGCACAGAGTTTGTGGAAATTCTCAAGGTGTAGTGGCTCTTTGTCTGCTATTCGAGAAGCTGCTTCAATGTTTCGATCCACTGTTGTGGAATCATTTCAGGAAATACCACGTTCCTCCGTAAGTGATCAAATTATTACGTCTATAGTAGTTCCAAATGTTTATTACAAAGTGTATTATTAGTAAAGCAAGGGTAATATAAATTTAAAAAATAAAATAACTAGAAAAGAGATAAAAGAGAAAGAAAATTACTTATAAAAAATAAAAAGGTAGCATATAAACGTCTTTGCGGTGGTATGTTTAAATTTTAAAACTATCCAAAAAGATTAGTTGAAATATCAACACGTTTTTGGTTTTATCAGACCATCATTAGTGAATCCTGAAAAGTAAGTAATTCCACTTAAATTTATTACAACAGGGTGACATTTTGACTGTTAATAAAAAAAGTTAATAAAAAAAAATACTTACTTGATTACCACGTGGAAATAACCACGAAAAAAGAGATTCTTGCCCGTATTTATAGTCATTTTTGTGTTTTATAAACCAATCTCAAGCCAACGGTTTTTCATTAAGGAAGTCCTTTTATTCTCTACAGTAGTATTTTCCTTTACCAGCTGGATTAAAAACACTTTTAATTACATATTTTTATTATTCTTTTGTTGAATACACAATTTCCGCTCATCTAAAAATCTAAAAATAACGGAAATTTATTCTCTCATATGCATATTTTTTATAATATATTACATACCTTAAAATAATTCATTAAAAATTAATTTTTTTAATACACCACATTCCTCTTCTTTAAGAAAGCTAAATTTGACACTAAAAATATTTAAACAAAAGTTTAGTGATAATGGTAATAACTGACAGAATCTTCTGTTTATTCGATGTCATCAATCAGATTTACTTAAAATCCCAAACTTTTGTGCTTCAGATCAACATTGTACGAGAATAGAATGAGCATGACCTTGACGTAAGTTCGACTTGGCGGAGTACGTGTTCAAGCACAAGCAGGCACAAGCTTAAATACTAGCTATAAATACGGGCATTAGGAACATTTGATGAACATATTAAAAGTTATATAAAATTAAAAAGTGAAGACATATTGTCGTTGATTAACCTTAGAGTGGTAAGGTCCCTGACACCGACATAGTAGATTTTTCGCGCTAAAACTCAAATGCGCATATTGTTTTGTCCTTGTCCGCGCGGCCAGGTAGCTTTCGAATTCTCATCACACTATTCAGTCTGGAAAAACCTGTGGCCGAGAGCGGATAGTTCATATGTTATTCGACCTGACGGTGTGAGCGATCGAGGTTACCATTTGTGTTATACTCAACGGTAAGTTTTTGTCGTTTTTGGTCCATAGTCAGTATTGTAAGAACAACCTATTCATAATATTGTAATCGCTCAGATCGTCACTTCTCGTGTTAATGTGTTTGCGACTCTCTCCCTCATAATCTCTCTTCACCCCGCGTTATAGCACTTAGGACAAAAATAGTGCGATTTTGCCTCTCGGTAAGTAAAGACGGGGGTGTGTTCAAATCACAGATGCGCTAACGGGAACCGGTGTTTTGTGTTAAACCATATACCAGTTTTGTCTCTGTTAATACGCTGTATCTTTGTTACTGCCTCCAAGAACTGTAAAGCTAATGATATTTTTCTATAACTCTTTTTAGTATTATCAGAATTGCGATAATTATCAATGTAGAATCAGTCCTAAAGTTTACTATAAATAAATCGAAGGAAAAATACGTCTTAAGTGGTTTATTGCTTCAGTGGTCCTTAATAAATATTTTGATGCAATTAGGTGTTCAACTACGCTTCTCTAAAATGTGGAAAGTTTGGTAATAAATTTATACTCTCCATTAGTCAGTTTAAATAATAGATATTCATTTTAGAAGTTGTATGTGAATATGGCTTACGAAAGAGAACAAATCAGGTTGGAACAACTTTTTGACGAAATTGTTGCTAATTCCGTACTGGAACCAGAAAATGACGACGCAAGTTTGCAAGATGATTGTTCAGAAGTTCTAGAATATTATACCAATTCAGAGGAGGATTTCTGTAATGAAGAATATGTCGAAAATCACACATAGCATCATCACACACAGTTAATAGCACACATAAGTTCACAGTCAATAACAGAACGACTAGGTCAATTAATCTTATAGAATTAAAAGCTCTGTTTGGGCTGTTATACATACCTGGCGCTAACAAAAGCAATCATCAGAATGCTGATGATTTATTTAGAACAGATGGAAGGTACTAAGACTAAAGGAGGAGTGGATATCGTGGATAAACTCTGCACGGCATACAATTGCGGCAACCCGTGGCTAGCCAATGATCATTTTTTACAGTTATTTGAATGTCGCTGGGATAAATTCCTACATTATATACAAATCGAATACAGATACACGCATTCCTAGAAAGTTTTTGGAAGATTTTGGTTTTCAATTTATTGTCGAACATATTCGCAGACGAGCCCTAGAACAAAATATTCCAAGGTCAATTCGTATGAGGTTAGTGGAAATTCGTGGCATGCAGACAAGCAATCAACCTATCCAGAATAATGTGTATGGAAGATGTACGTTCTGCAGTAGTAAGAAAAACCGCAAAACTCGGTTTCTTTGTAGGTATTGTGGCAAGTATGTGTGTTTGGAACATTTAGCCGGACTATGCGTTGAGTCCGTGCTATCAACTTATTATGCAGGGCAAAATCCGAGGAAAGCGAAATGTGGGAAGACGAAGAATATCCTGGCTTAAGAACTTAAGGGAATGGTTTGAATGCAGTAGTGCAGAACTTTTTAGAGCGGCAGTCAACAGAGTCCGCATAGCCATGATGATTTCCAACCTTCGATAGAAGATGGAACTTAAAGAAGAAGAAATGCGTTGAGTGCGGTATAGAAGAAAATGGGGAAGCAAAGCAAATTTAAAAGAGTTTCAGTTTATGTTGGACATTTGTTGAATAATTTTATTTTTTTTGTGACATTTCAACGCTTGTCTTTATGTTTGTTAATATTTTGTATTCAAAAACTTGACATGTTTTTGTACATTGTTTGTCAATTATGTTAGTAACTAAAGGAAGCTAGTTTTTTTAATGTGCATTTTTTTCTCGAAAATAAATAAATATTGATCATTTCTTACTATATTGTTATTTAAATATAGATTTATTAAATATTTAGGCACATCAAAATATTAACAGAAAATCACAACCTAAGATATTCATTATTAAAAATGTCGGTGTCGCAGACCGACGTTACCAACTATGTTACAAGAATTCACGTTACCGGCGGAAGGTTTAAAGATTTAAATACAAAGGAACATTTTGAATCATATACGACATTGCAATCAAAATTTTTATTATCATAAATGATGTTTTATAATTATTTTATTTATATTTTATTTTGTTCTAGCTTAAGACTCGTAATAAAATGGATAATGCGTGCTTTCAGCGGTCATCTGCCTCCAGAACAGTTACTCTCCTTATGGGATCTAGTGTTGGCATACGACTCTTTGGAAATCATCTCGTTATTGGCTGTAGTCATACTTATTTTTAGAAGAGATAATCTACTTAAAGTTACTACATTACAAAATATAGAGGCAGTTCTAGCTGATCTCTCTAGTATAGCTGTTATACCTTTACTACAAATGGCACTAATGAAAGACCTATGATCTAGAATAGTTTAAAAACGATACTCTACTTCTGAGAAAAGCTAATACAATTACAAAATCAACAAGTTTACAGTATGGGTATTTCAGAATAGACGGTTCTTGAATTTTGCATCAGTAATGACATATTTTATTATTATTAAGGAAATTTCTACAAAGTTTCCTCATTTCAAGCTTCTATTTTTTCGATTAAAGCACATTTTTATTTAATAGCTTTTACCATTTCGTGAATATCTCTCTTACTGAATTTATTATTATCTATTTCCTTGATTATCCCCTCTTTGGTCTAATTTTCTTTTTGGCCGCATGTTCTTCTGATTGCATCGTTTTCATTGTTAAAATTTATTTTCTAATTTAAGTCCCACTAACGCTACTTATAACTGCAATGTGTCTAATTCTAAGGACCTTTTTAAAAGTAGAAATATTGTATAATGTTGCCTACTTATCTGATACTTGTTTTTCCTTTAAACATCTGCTACACAATCTACTAAGCATTTCTGATATTTTTGAAAGTCCATATTTTACTTATTTAGATTATATTCTCGATATTATATGCTTTCGATACTATTCTGATTTTCGTAGCTATAAGGGATTTGAATATTTTTTGTCTACCTATCTAAATATACTTCAGATTCTTCTTGTAAACATGAATCCACTAATTTACGCTGCTTCGTGTGGTCTTGTAAAAGTTCATTAAAATGAAGCATGTATTAAATTTAGTTGCAGTTTAAAACGGTAAAAATTATAATTTTATTAAATCAGATCATAGGTCTGTACTAAAGTGCGTCCTATCGAAAGATTGTTTGAGAAATAAATGTTTTAGAAAGCTTATAAATGACCTTTTAATAAACAAATTCCCAATACATTCCTCATCTTCGAATAAATTTGATTTTAGTGATGACCTCTTATTGGAATTGTATTTATTTGTCATCCTACTGGATAGATATAAACTTTACAAACAGACCTTTTTGTGGAATTGTTTAACACGCTCGTAGCCTTACGTGACAAATACACCTTGGACCTCGTCCTAACCGTTCGCTGCGTCGGTAATATGTGGAAAATTATCTCATATTGCGAAAAGGATATTTTTCTCATCGATTAAGATCAAAACACTCAAACATATGTCTCAAAAACTCCGCCTGCAGTTTAATTGGGTGGATCAAGTAGCTCGACAAAACTGTTGCCGATCCCAAGCCCGGATACAGCCAGGTTAGCACCCTACTGATAGACTTTAAAACCATACTGTAACATTTTTTTTTATTATTAAAATATTAATTATTTTTAATTTATTTTACCCCCGTGCGATACGCCGATGATTAGGAATTCCCGTGTTTACGATAAGAAAATAATATTGGATCTACTAAATTATAATGGACTTCCCTAATTACTAAAGGTAGTTAATCCTTTCCGTCTTAATACTCAGTATGAAAAGATCTAATGCTTTTGAGTATGCAGGTTCTTTTACATAAATTGATAATTTTCGCCGAAGGCCCGTATCTTTTAACAATAACTTAATCCCAAGTATTGTCTGCTTCTCATGTCCAATTGTTGGTACCGGTAACTCAAAACTTTCGGAATTTTTACTTCCTCAGAATTACCTACAACTGTCCGATGATTTTAAGTAGGGGAAATACCTTCTTTTTCTTTTTTCTTGGACAGTTGGTGAAATTTTTAGTGGAACCAACTTACTTCTCGGTGGGCTCTCGTTGAGCACAGGTCGATTATCTCGTGAGACTTCACGGTGACCTCTCGTTGAGTGTGGTCGCTTGCCTGAAATTATCGTCTCTGTGAATTATTTTCTAAGTGTGTATACACTCTATATTTCAGTTTTCTTGTTTTAGACTATATTAAGTTATATATAGTTCTACACTACCTTTAATGGTACCTAATTAAATTCAGTGATGAATACCAGTACAGTACGACCAGGATAGCAATAGACGTGAACTGCGCGTTAAGCGTTGTAGGGCTGTAGAATTCATTTGTGGGTGTAATGTAAGATTGGGTTTATGCTGGTTATGTTGTGACGTAGGACATAATTCGGTATTTTGTTTTACACCCACAAATGAATTCTGCAGCCCTACAACGGTTAACGCGCAGTTCACGTCTAATGCTATCCTGGTCGTACTGTACAGCATATTAATTTCAGTGAATTAAGCTGCCGTCATCAGGAATTATGTAAGTTACCATAATCTTCATCTGCAAATTATCTGGGCGAGTAATATGGTATGGTATCATACCACCTGCCATTATCTGGACGTATGACCCATCATTCATCCATATCTTCATCTGTAGATTGCCGATTTTTATATTTAATTTAAAGAACAATTCAAGAACTTCCCATAAATAATAACTATGAACATCTCAGTTTAGGATTAATTAATAGTGCGAGATAGTAACCCACCTAGCCAAGTGCGGTTTGGCTAGTTAATGTTTTCAACTCTGTAACCTGTTTGTTTTTTTTTTTTTGTAAATTTAGAGTTAAGAAATTTTTGCTATCTTTTGTATTTGCTATAATTTTCGCTCAATATCTTTCCTATAATATCTCGAGATACGCCAAACTATATTTGTATATGATTGCCTTATATATCTTGGTAGAGGTATTTTTTTATTATATTATTGCTTAATTTTATACATATATAACACCATTTCATAGTTTTGTATTTTTATTACTTGTGTTGCATTTAACAGCATCATAATTTTGTGTTTAATATATTGTTAATGTTTTATGCATGTATTTTATTTGTCGGCTCCTAACAAGTTCCCTGATAAAATAGTAGCTCTAAATATTTGCTTAGTATATTAATTTATGACTATACCTTTGACCAGTAGAAAGATCAGGCTGATTAAGTTTCGTAGGTAAGTAAGTGTAATACCTAATATATTTATTATTTGTTTATATATTGTGTTGACCAAATTTATTTGATAATTAACTGTTGGTATCTTTCCTTGGGTTTGATCTCTGATCTCTGAAGAATATCTTTCCTTATCTCTTTTCTTTTCTTAAGGTTTCTTAATTTTCTCCTTAACCCCAAAAAATTGAGTGGCGCCCTGTTTCTATCTTCTCTTATCTTTGGTAATTTTATCCATCTATCTTTTTGTTTATTTATATATCTTTTCTAATATCTCTTATCCTATCTTTACTTATTTCGTCCGTTGGACCCAATCCCGGTTCCAAAAGCTAGTTTCGAACCCACGACTCGCTCTCCACCAACCATCTGGCTGCCGTCCGCAGTGTTTCCATTGGTTATCTTTCTAACACCATCCAAAAAAGATTTCCGAGGTTACAATACAGCTCATAGAAACAGGATTATGCCTCGGAACGGGAATGATAACTGTCTATTCAGAAGACAAAAATAATAATTACGTTTTCCTTTTTTTGAAGCAACAACAAGTCTAACATTGCTTGTATCTCAAGTAAAGGTTGTTAAAATATATTTTTGTCCATAAATCATCCATTTTCTAGATATCTACCTAACATTGTGATATGACTTTTCTTAATATATAAATAAGAAGTTATTATTAGCTTTAAGCTGCGTTAACATGGATAGTAAATCACGAGCAAAAGAGCCACACTCGTGATACACGAATCTTAATAACTTCACGACCGTGGTCATGCTTCGTTTTTTAGAGATTTTACAAGACAAATATTTACTTCAGTGGTAAATATGAAGACCTTGATGGCAGAAGCATGTCAAGTTATGTGTGAAGTGATAGCAGATAGGATTGCACAAAATTTCGCAAGGAAATGAAAGAAAAGACAATGGTTTACAATTAAGTGAATTCAACAAAGAAGTCATACTAATTTAATTAAAAGCGTCTACAAGTATCCTGAAGGTTTTAAAAATTTGCTTAAAATGTCGGAACACCATTTTCAATATTTATTAGAACTTGCTGGCCTCAAAATTAAAGAAAAAAATAATCTTCTAATATGAGACAAGCTCTATTAGCCAAACTGAAATTGCAAATAACACTTCGATATTTAGCTGGAGACTCTTTTATAAGTTTTCAATATTTATTTGGAGCCCCCACATCATCCGTAAGTAAATTTATAGAGACGTTTTGTTTGTGATGCTTTAAAAGAATTTATCCAGGTAAGTAAAAAAATTATTTAGTCAAATGCGGTATTGCGGTATTACATACATCTGCTTTCTCAGTTTTGTCTTCATCAGTCACTGCATTGCTTTTCGATGCATGGTCTTCACTCTTGTTCATGTTCATATTTTCGCTGTCTTTCCTTTTGCGAACTTGATTAAAAGCTACACCATGTTTTTAAGTGAGTGTACAAATTGGACATATTTCCTGATGTTTTTTTAAACTTTGGAGTAATATTTCTTTTTTTTTTAATGCAACTAAACATTGCTTTTGGGTGTTGCATGTTTCTTTCTAATTTTGTTAACTATAAAAACAATATTCATAATGTTCCCAAATAAAATACTCAACAATAAACGAAATAATGATAAGAAAAATAAGGAAAGGAAATTCAATACTTTATTAAACATAAAAAAATTAAACATAAAAGTACTCACAAGGGAGATGAATATACCGTAACTTCAGTTCCGTGTATAAACCATCATCAGCACCGTTCATCTTTATCAAAATAGGTAAATTTGGATTACAACCTAACCCATTCATTCTTGGCGACTCCAATAACCGCAGCGTTGACTGACGATATAGGAAAACAGGCAATAGCGACCGACTGGTCTAGGAATCGACAGATGCAAACAATCTTAGCATTATACACGACCCAAAGTTGACCTATTTCTTCCAAAGCAATAACTGAAAGCGAGAATACAATCCTGACCTTTGCTTCATCAGAAATAGCCTCAAACGTCTCTGGATGTAAGACCCCATTCCCAAAACTCGACATAGAACAATGGGAATAGAAATGCCGTCATAGAAGTATACTGTCCTCCAAAAGAAATTCAACTTCAAGAAGGCAAACTGATCAGATTTTTCAGCGCAATTGGACCCAGCTATTGCGGATCTTTAATCAGGCCCAACAAATTACGAACGACTTGTCGCCACGCCAAGTCTCAAAACAAATAATTCCAAGACGTTGCAGACAGCATTATATATCCGGCCTATCTCAGGAATCCCAAGCAGTCTAACTAACTACGGTGAACTCACGAGAAAGATCCATTTAGTGAGGACACAATCAATTGCGACTCAATATTGCTTGAACAACTCAGTAAATTCATTCAAAAGAAATAAGGAGAAAAACTGGAGCATCTCGATATGCCACAAAGTAGCAAGATCGCTTGGAACTTCGTGAAAAATCTTAACAGATACCCTCCATGAAAGAAATGCCGTTAAGGCCCAAAAATCTTTAATTGGACGAGCCTAGGTACATTTGTGGAGTTGCCATTTTTGGGTACAAATGACAAATCCCAAAAATAGATGTGTGTCTATAATTAAGTTCTTGTTCTAGAATAACGGGGGGGGCTAAATATAATTTCATCATTAGAGTGTTGTGTATTAATAAAATCAACCAATTTCGGAATTCAACGTCATTCTAATATTCCTTCCAAAGCAATACCTGCAAGCGAGAATACAATCCTAACCTTTGATTCATCAGCACAACACTCTAATGATGAAATTATATTTGGGCCCCCGTTATTCTACAACAAGAACTTAATTATAGACACACATCTATTTTTGGGGTTTGTCATTTGTACCCAAAAATGACAACTCCACAAATGTACCTAGGCTCGTCCAATTAAAGATTTTTGGGCCTTAACGGCATTTCTTTCATGGAGGGTATCTGTTAAGATTTTTCACGAAGTTCCAAGCGATCTTGCTACTCTGTGGCATATCGAGATGCTCCAGTTTT